GCCTGGCGCCTGCTGCAGCTGGCTCTGCTCCTTCCAACTCAACTCACCGCTCTCCCCCTCTCTCGCCCCCTCTCAACACCAAATCAACCCCCTCTGCAGGTCTCTGCATTGCTGAGGAAGCACGACAGCGATCCCTCAGCAGTGCTAGACCCTGCACTGCCCTCCAACCTCCCCAAGGTGCCCGCCTGGCGCCTGCTGCAGCTCGCTCTGCGCTGCACTGCTCCCACCGGACGCGATCGGCCGCACATGGGGGAGGTGCTATCTGAGCTGCTCTTTGTCCAGAACGCCGTGAGGAAATCGTGAGATTGTGATTCGTCGGTGGCGGTGGGTTATCCGCAGGAGTGACGAATCACAGTGATGGGGCATGTGCGGGGAATGTGCTGCTGTGCTATCTGAGCTGAATTGACTTTTGAGGCGCCTCAAATGTGCATGTGGGGAATGTGCTGCTGCTGTGCTATCTGGGCTGAATTGGTGCAGTGCAGAATGTCGAGGGACAGTATGCTGTTCGTAATATAAACTGAATACAGTATGTTTGACTTTTTGAGTAGACTAAAAACGTGCCTGTTTATCAGCTTCTCTCTATTATTGGAAGCTGCCTGCCAGTAGTTTATCAAGGTGCCAGCTGTCAGGACTGACATGCAGAGTTTCGTTCCTGCTAGTGCAGCTTGTCTATCACCACAGTGCACTAGTTTTATGTAGCTATACCATATCACTCGTACACGAATTACCGTATCACCCCGGATAGTAGCGCCGCCTGGTTAAAGGCGCCAGCGCTTCTATCTGGAGACATGCGCTTATGGCCGGTACTTTTTATAAGCGCATCCCTTCCCCCCAGGGGGTAGTCTTTCCACTATTTTTTTTTATCTAAACATTTTTCCCTACACTAACATGATTTCTACACATGCCTCTCTACCATTAATCTCTTTACACATTAAGAATTACACCCCTAACTAGAAATCTACTCGTCGTCAGACTCCGGCTCCTCGCAGTTGTTGCCCAAGAAGCCGTTGGCGACGATCTCGTCATCGACGTCGACCTCGTGGGTCAGCTGGCTCCGCCTGTGCGCCATGGCAAGGTTGTCCTCACTGCCGTCAAGCGCGTTGCTGATGCCACAGGTAAGGAACGCCTTCTTGATCAGCTCTGGTGGCACGGCCTTCCAGGCCCGTGAAATCCACCTGAGCACCACCGCAGGGGGGGGCTTCTTGATGTTCCCTGCACCACAAGTCAGAGTGTGGGAGATGCTGTTAGCACAAGATACACCGGGAAACGAAGCAGCCAGAAAGGGATAAACGGTGGGGTTCTTACCTGCAGGAGTCAGCCGCTCCTGGCCGTCCTCTTCAAACCAGGTCTGGTACTGCTGGCGGATGCTTGCCTTGAAGGACTTGTTGATCGAGACGTCCAGGGGCTGTACCTCCGCCGTACAGCTCGACGGGATCACCGCCGGAACGATGTCGAGGTCGACGAATTTCTCCTTCACTTCGTCCGTCAGATGACCGCGGTAGGAGTCAAGGACAACCATGGCACTCCTCGCCTGCCTGCCGAACCGAGGCCGGATGAAGGGCTTTACGCACTCCTCGAGCCAGCGCATGACGCCGTTGGCGTCCATCCAGCCGTTCGGGTGCACCGCCACGACCACATCTGCGATATCACAGACAGCCAAGAAACAGTCGTTATTATCACGACTGGAAAACCAAACAACTGCGGACCGTGGTGTGTTCTTACCTGGCGGGAAGTCACCCTTCGGCACCGTCTTGCGCTTGAAAAAGACCCACGGCTTGAGCTTCTCGCCGTCCGCCGTGCACGCCAACATCACGGTCACGCGTTCCTTCTGGTAGCCCCTGCTCCTGATGGGCACTGAGCGAACGCCCGTCTCCTCCACAGTCGTCGTGGCGGGCATCTCCAGCCACAGCGGCGTCTGGTCGGCGTTGATAATCCAGCGGGTTTCGATGCCGCGCTCACGCCGCTTGTCACGAACGTACTGCCAGAAAGACTGGCACTGCGCCGCGACGTCTGCGCACACACGGGCAATGTTAAGAGGCACTGGTTAGTCAACGACTGTAAATAAAACACACAACAACGACATGGTGCTGTAATTCGGCACTTACGCTCGGCGGTCTTCTGGGCAATTCTCGTCTTCATGCGCACGCTCAGATTCCAACGTTTCCGAAACCGCTCCGACCACCGCTGGCTGCCCTTCCACTTTACGTCGGGGAACAGAACCTTCATGTACTCCTTCGACACTCCTGCAGGCGACCAACGGAGACGGCAGTTCCTTTGCGGCGCCACTCGAGAAGCGTCGCGTAGACTTTCAGCTCCATCGGCCTGTACCACGATGACCTCCCGCGCCCATGCATCCGCTTCCGCGCTGAGTGCGCTTCCTTGAGCATGGCGGCGGCTTTCTTCCATTCCGCGAGACACTTGCGGTGGATTCCAGACTCTCGCGACAACGACCGCAGCGACACCGCCACATCCATGCGCCCGATCCACTGCAGCTTCTCCTGCGCGGTATAAGCGTTGCGCTTATGCTGCGACGACTTGTGCCTGGGAGAGGGGGGGCGGGAATCACGGTTCTCAGAAGAGGGGTGGGGGCGTTTGCGGTTAACCGGAGGAAACGTAGGAATAGGGAGCTTCCCGGGAAGTCCGTCGCGCGACCAATACTCCACACCGTCGTCGTCCTCGCCGCCCGGGGCACCCTCGGGAAACACATCTGCCGCGTTGCCGGCCTCGGCGCCAGTGTCGGTGCCAGTGTCAGTGCCGGCCTCGGTGCCAGCCTCGGTGTCGGGCACATCGTCGTCAGCGCCCACAGCAGATTCGTCCCACGCACAATCTTGCGGCTGGCCCCATCGTGGTGCCGGGGCCGGAGCTGAAACCCATACGTCGGGGGGCTTGTTGCTGTCAGGTTCCGACATGTACTCGTCGAACGTTGACGGGTGCAGGAGCGTCAGCATGGGAGGATTTGATGGGCCGGCAAACACGGGTGGATTCGGAGGAGCAGGTGGAGCTGGAGGTGCAGGAGGACACAGAGGAGATGGCGGCGCAGGCGGCGCAGGCAGCGCCGGAGGCTGCGGTGGCTCTGGGGGCGATGGTGGGATACGGCTATACCAGCCGTCAGCGTCCACACGGAAGGCGGGCCTAGGCTTCTTCTTAAAAAGGAAGTGGGTGCCAGTGAATTCCGCCATGGCTTTCGCAGCCTAGCGGGCGAAACATGCTAAACTGAGGGTACATTCCTGCGGGGACACTTGTGTCTCAATCCCCGATTTCCCGAGTCGCGCCTGTAAATTTGCCAAATGTTGTGTCACAAACAACCAATGTATCGCGACTCTAGGCGACCAGGCGAGATGTACAGTTGTGCGCATTTGTTTGGGTGACACAAATGACTGTACATCCCTTTTTTCAACCGCTTGGCTGGGGTGTGGTTTCGACGAGCGGGATTTTGTCCCGCACGAAATTGGCATTGCAGGCTGTCCAGGTGCATTGACATTTCGAGCAGCGTGCGAATTTTTCACATTGACGAGTCAGATTACAATTCGTCAGCGACGTCAGCGCGTTTCACGCTGACCAATAAAAAATACAGTAATGGTCGCGGAAATGCGACTCGCAATTGGGACACACTACAGTTTATGCTGTTTTTGTGTGTCACAAAGCGATTGAGACATTTGTGTCTCCACAGGAATGTACCCTGATTCAGAACGAGCAAGAAATGAGAAGAAATGGACTTCAGACGGGACCCCTGCGGCAGGGCTTCAGATTCGTTTTGGGCCACCCTTAGTAATCAGGGTTCTAGGTATATTCAACCCTGGTGCATAGGGTAAAATTTTTGTTTCCCTGACAAATGCAGGGTAAAAAAACAGTCTGTTTGGGCAGAGTATTCTTAAAAAATTGTGTATATTAAAAGTGCCAAAGCACTCAAGTTCAATGGCTAGTAGTTCAGCTGGGTTGATGGCGCACTAGATCTGGAAGATCGCAGGTCCGAATCTCGCTAATGAGATCATTTTGCAGGGACCTGTATAGTGTTTCGTCTCGCTACGGAGCACTCGGTACCAGTATAGCTGGGATTGTACAATGTACAGTCAGAGTAATGTGTTCCTTATGCTGTTTTTCAAAGGGTATTGAAAAACTTACACTTTCTGGCCTAGGGTTAAAAATCCACTACCCTGCCTGTGAAAAGGGTAACTGAAAAAAAGCGGCCGCCAGTCAGTGCAAAAAGGGTATTTTACCCTGATAACGAGAGGCCTGCCCTGCGGGGAAGCGGCTCGCCCTCCTCGTCAATGATAGACGGTTACCCCCACAGCCTAAACCCGCAGAGGATGAAAATGGGCGGCACACATGGTGCGGTGGCAGGGAATATTCGACCCCCTTCTAGAGGGATCGGCTGAGCTGTCCCTGCCTGGCATCGCATGACAGGGGATTGGGCCGCACGGCAGCTTCCGAGTCAGCGTTGGCAGATGCGTTGCTCCGGGACAGGATTTGTGCGGTGGGAAATCGAGTCGCTGCTGTTTTCGCCTGCATTTCATGCACGAAACCGACGTGAACGTTTGATGGGCGAATTCGCCTTAATGAGAGCTTCGATTTGGTACCCTTACAAACAAAATTCATTTTTTTCCGTTTTATAAGCGCATGCTTTATGCCCTTTCCTCAATTACAAGCGCCCCCCCTAAAAAATCAATTTTATTATAAGCGCATATGCGCTACTATCCGGGGTGATACGGTACTCATGAATGCCTGCCAGGGGACACGCGCTTGCACAGCAAGATGATATGATGCATAATCCTACATCATGCTTACACTGTCCACTCATTCAGAGCCCCCATGTTCCGTAGTTCGTGCAAAATAGGGAGGCATCAAGGAGAAACAAATCCCGATTGATCTAGTACGTGGGTCAGGAAGAACTATTTCCAGACCCAAAGGTAACACAACACACACAGCAGGGTGGAATCAACATAGAGAAAAATCAACACAGGGCAGATCAACTTGACAGGTTTGACAGGTTGTTGTGCCGATCATGCCGTCACCACCACAGGTTCAAGCACTGGAAAGAGCTCAAGAGAAGCCTTCTCCTTCTCTATATCCCCCACCTCAACAACCACCTGCCCTTCCCTCCATCCCCCACCCTTCCCATTCTTCATGGCCTTTCCAGCCTTTCCAGCTGCCTCTTTTCCTGTCTCCCCAGTGCTCACCTCACTCCTCTCCTTCCACTTGCCTGCTCCCCACACGTGCACCAGCACGCGCCGTCCAAGCACCTTCCCTCCACCATCCCCATTCCCATCCCCCTTATAAGCCTCCCCGTTACCTGCCTCCAATGCACCGGCCTCTCCGTTCTCGCCCATAATGCTGTCCTTGTCAGCGCCGTCCCCCCCGTCGCTGTCGGCGCCAGCTGTCATGCTGATGTGGCGGTCGAACCATGCGCACAGCTCGGCGAGCGTGATGTTGCAGAGCGCCACAGCCTCCAGTTGGCGCGAGTTGAAGAGCGAACTGGGGTGAAGGTGGGGGGGGAGGAGGGTTTGGGGAAATGGGGTTTTGGGGGAAAGGAGGGTGTGAGATTACCCAATCATGCAGCTCAGCCCAGCATGCGAGCGTGATGTTGCAGAGGGCTACAGCCTCCAGCTGGCGCGAGTTGAAGAGCGAACTGGGGGAATGTCGCAGCAATGGTGGGTGGTAAGGGGAGGGGATGGGGGAGAGGGGGAAAAAAAAGGGGGGGGAGATGGGGAAGAGAACGGTGTGGAATGCAATCATACAGGGAGCTTTGGGACCTTTTTCAAATATACCTCGCACAGCTTGAAAAAATACAGGAAAACGCGGAAAACGGAAAAACTGGGGTTCACCTGCCCTCGTGCTCACCTGCCCTCGTGCTCACCTGCCCTCCCAGATTTGCTCCCAGTAGCGGTGCGTTTCATCCCCCAGTGTGTGGTCCTTGCGCATCTTCAGCACCTGCAGGGCCGCCCTGTGCGCCCTGAAATCAGCTTCGGGCAGGGCGCTCTGAAGTTAGAGAGAGAGGGAGAGACATGGAGAGATGGGGAGAGAGGGCGAGGGAGGGAAAGCTAGTGAGAAGGGGAGGAGGCATCTTGATAACCTGCAGCGCTGCCCTGTGCGCCCTGAAATCAGCTTCGGGCAGGGCGCTCTGCTGCGGAGACGGAGAGGGAGGGAGGAAAGGGCAAGAGAGCGTGAGAGTGAGTAAGTGAGTAGGGAAGGGCGCAGCTTGAGCACCTGCAGCGCTGCCCTGTGCACCCTGAAATTTGCCTCGGGCAGGGCGCTCTGAGGGGCGGAGAGGGAGAGGGAGGGAGGAAAGGGCAAGAGAGCGCGAGCAAGGAGGGTGGACAAGAGAGCATGAGCAAGTGCATGCGCTCTGGGAAACAGGGGTGAGACAGGAAGTGGGGAGAGAGAGAGAGGGAGCTAGGGAGGGAGCTAGGCCCACTTCTGGCTTACTGCATCCAAATAAAGAAGTAAAATACCTTGGAAGTTGCTTTTGAGTATTCTGACAGAAGCCAAAGGCAGCTTGTCAGCTCAACAGGTGCGTGCAGTACTTACCAGGTTATCTCGGAAGGTGGTGAGGAGAGGACGGAGTCGACTCGTTGCTGCAAGTATTCCGGGCCGTGGTCAGCCGATTGCAGAAACCACAGCCGTGACCACAGCAGGTTCTTACCAGGTTATGGTGGAAGGTGTTGAGGAAGGAGTCAACGCGCTGCTGCAAGTATTCCGGGCCGTAATCAGCCGACTGCACGCGGATGCAGAAGCCAAAGACAGCACTTTCATTCAAATACAGTTGTCACCACAGCAGGGCTCCTACCAGGTTATCGCGGAAGGTGTTGAGGAAGGAGTCAACTCGCTGCTGCAGAAATCCGGGGCCGTAATCAGCAGACTGCACGCGGATGCAGAAGCCAAAGACGCCGTGGGTGAGGCGGGTGCCGCAGTCCACGCGGTACCCCAGCTGCTCCTTGGTGCGCAGCGTGTCAAAGAGCGGCTCTGACATGACCTGCGGTGTGCAATAAGGATGGATGAGGGAAACATGAGAGACGTATGGGAATGCATGGGAGATGGACGGGATGGAGAAAACTACTCGATCCCACCCCAAAAAAGAAAGAAAGAAAGAAAGAAAGAAAGAAAAAAACTTCCGGAAGCGAGGTGATTTGAGTGCCGCATTTTCCTCTGTACCCCACATTCATAGATGGCTTATAAACAGAACAAATGAGCAGACTCCTCTTCCTCACCTGCTCCTCTTCCTCACCTGCTCAAGTAGATCCACCAGTGATCGGTCTCGGATGGACGCCCTGCCTTGGTCCTGACAGGCCTGGTAGTACACCTGATGTGATGGGGGTCGGGCAAAAGGGGAGCGGATGGACAAAATTTGAGGACTGCACGCACGGCACAGCAGGCCTGTAAGACCTACTTTATACCCAAATCTCTGGACCAGACATTTAGGTGGGACCTGCTCCACCCCCATCTGCCCCACTTTCACCTACCCCACTCCTACCTGCCCCTCACCTCGACTGCAGAATTCTCCTCGGCCGGGTTCCCCACGGGGCTCTCGACCAACAGGGACTTGCCACGTGGCAGCTGCAGGCAGCGCTCTGAAGGGAGGTCCAGCAGCGGAGGGGAGGGCACCGGGAGGGTGTCTGTGACGGCTGAGGCGAGCGCTAGTGCGTCCTCCTCTGTTGCATTCCCGTGAATCAGCATTTCTATGTATGTCTGGTGGAAAAAGTGGGGAGTGGGTGTAGAAGGGGGATGGAGGGGACGGCACCGGGAGGGTGTCTGTGACGGCTGAGGCGAGTGCTAGAGCGTCCGGTTCTGTCGCATTGCCGTGAATGTGCATTTCTATGTGCGCCTGGGAGCGAGGCAAGGTGGCGAGTGGGGGAAAAAGGGGGACAGACTTGAGTGAAGTGAAGGCTCGCAGCCTTCAATCACCGGTGGGTTTCAAAGCTCAATCCTTACCATGCCGGGCTCGTTGCCTCCAACAAGACTCGAGTGAAGTGAAGGCACCAATAGGGCTGAAGCGGTTCAGGCGGGGATGGTTCAGGAGGGCACGCGCAGCAGCCTTCAATCACTGATGGGTCTCAAAACTCAATCCTTACCATGCCAGGCTCGTTGCCTCCAACAAGATTCGAGTGAAGTGAAGGCACCAATAGGGCTGAAGCGGTTCAGGCGGGGATGGTTCAGGAGGGCACGCGCAGCAGCCTTCAATCACTGATGGGTTTCAAAACTCAATCCTTAGCATGCCGGGCTCGTTGCCTCCAACAAGACTCGAGTGAAGTGAAGGCACCAATAGGGCTGAAGCGGTTCAGGCGGGGATGGTTCAGGAGGGCACGCGCAGCAGCCTTCAATCACTGATGGGTTTCAAAACTCAATCCTTACCATGCCGGGCTCGTTGCCTCCAACAAGACTCGAGTGAAGTGAAGGCACCAATAGGGCTGAAGCGGTTCAGGCGGGGATGGTTCAGGAGGGCACGCGCAGCAGCCTTCAATCACTGATGGGTCTCAAAACTCAATCCTTACCATGCCGGGCTCGTTGTCTCTAGCAAGACTTGAGTGAAGTGAAGGCACCAATAGGGCTGAAGCGGTTCAGGCGGGGATGGTTCAGGAGGGCACGCGCAGCAGCCTTCAATCACTGATGGGTTTCAAAACTCAATCCTTACCATGCCGGGCTCGTTGCCTTTAACAAGTCTCACCCGCGAGAAGAGCACCCGCAGGAACTCGTTCAGATCGTCCACCTCGCACGCAGTTAGCGCCGATAGCTTGTCCGGGATGGTCCAGGCGGGGGTGCGCAGCAGCAGCAGACTGCAAAACCCAATCAGTATCGTGTTGCATCTAACAAAACTTACCCGGGAGAAGAGAGTCTGCAGAAAGGCGTTCAGATCGTCCACCTCGCACGCAGTTAGCGCTGATAGCTTGTCCGGGATGGTCCAGGCGGGGGTGCGCAGCAGCAGCAGACTGCAAAACCCAATCAGTATCGTGTTGCATCTAACAAAACTTACCCGGGAGAAGAGAGTCTGCAGAAAGGCGTTCAGATCGTCCACCTCGCACGCAGTTAGCGCTGATAGCTTGTCCGGGATGGTCCAGGCGGGGGTGCGCAGCAGCAGCAGGCGGAGATACGCCGAGTGCTTGAGGGGCTTTAAGAGCGCGTTGCGGTACGCGCGGCACCGCTCCTCCTTGAGCGCGCTGAAGCGGTCGGCCGCCGCCCGGAACGTGCTGATGTGGCGGAAGATGCGGGCGGCGAGCGTCGGCAGCTTGTGGCTGAAGCCCGTGATGCGGATCTCGATCTTAAAGCCCTGCACGGCCATGTTCGTGTCTAGCTTGGCCACACTCGCCTGCAAAAGGGAGGAGGGGAGAAAAGGGAGGGGAATTGGGGAAAGGGGGTCAAGGTGGGGATGTTAAGGCCCCGGACGGCCATGGAGGTGTCTAGCTTGGTTACACTCGCCTGCAAAGGCGGGGAGGTGGAAGGAAGGAGGGTAGATAGAGGATGTAACATGATGGGGCGATTTGCAGAGTGTGCACGCATTGAAATGCAAAGATACCCAGACAGGCAGAAAGACACACACACAGGCACGCCAAAGCCTCACCAGGTAGAGGGTCTCGTTTAGAGAGTCTTCGATAAGCTTCACAGCCAGCTCAGTGAGGGCGGCGGAGCGGGGAGAGTCGCAGGCGTGAGGGGAGGAGAGGGCGAAGTGGGCGTTGAGGCGCGGCGAGCGGAACACGTCGTCCTGCTTGAACCACACCTTGCACCGCCCCGCCTCCTCCCTCACCACCCGCGGCACACTGGGTGCACTAGGCGCACTGACAGCACTGGGAGTGGTCCCGTTGAGGGGATCACTGCTGTTGGTGGCAGCAGCCATGGTGGTGCTGGCGGTGGCGGTGGTGGCAGTGGTGGTGGTGGTGGTGGTAGCAGAGGCGGCAGCAGTGGAGGAGGGGCGGAGGGAGAAGTCGGTGGGGATAAACTCGTTGGGGGGAGGCATGCGCAGGTCGGGGCTGAGCCACGTGTCGCTCGCCCATTGGTCCAGGAGAGCCGGGGAGAGCAGGGTTGTGGTGTAGGGCACATCGAACCACGGCTCCTTGAGAATACCTGTAGCATGGTTCCAGAGGCAGAGAGGGAGAGAGGTATAGAAGTTAGTGAATCTGTTCTGGTACGTCCCGAAACGAATTCACTATCGCCTGGTTGTCTTTTGAGACGTCTCAAAAGTCGTCCCGAAACGAATTCACTATCGCCTGGTTGTGGTGTAGGGCACTCCGAACCACGGCTCCATTGAAATGCCTGAGGGAGATAGGGAGGGAGAGAGAGGCAGAGAGTGGGATCAATGAGTGAGTAAGCGATGAGCGCGAGAGGGAGGGAGCAGAGACGACAGAGAGGGTAGAGAGGGCAGCAAGGCCTGAAGCCTAAGCCCTATAAGAACACGCGCTCACCTTCTCTGGTGTGGTCGAAGGAGTGAGTGAGCAGGTCCAGGCGCACGGAGTGTGGCGAGAGCAGCGAGAGCAGGTAAGCGATGCGGTCAGGGTCCCACTTGTCATGAATGTAGTCCCCTGCTATCACATGCCGCTTGGGGTAGTAGAACATGTTGCCTGGGAGGGAAAGGGGAGCAGTGAGAGCAGAGAGAGCAGGAAGAGAAGAGAGTGCAGGTAGGCAATGCGATGGGGTTCCCACTTGTCGTGAATGTGGTCCCCTGCTATCACATGCCGCTTGGGGTATCTTTTGAGTCGACTCAAAAGTCACCTCGATGGGGTTCCCACTTGTCGTGAATGTGGTCCCCTGCTGTTACATGCCGCTTGGGGTAAGTTGCCCTGGGAGGGGGATAGATGGGGAGGGGGGGGGGACAGGGGAGCAGAGGGAAGAAGATGTGATCCCTTGCAATGACGCGCTTCTTGGGGTAATAGAACATGTTGCCTGGGGGGGCCAGTGAGATAGGGGAGGGTGGAGGGGAAGAGGGAGCAGGGCAGAAGCGAGAGTAGCAAGAGCAGGTAGGCGACGATGCGATGGGGGTCCCATTTGTTGTGAAAGTAATCCCCTGCTATCACATGCCTCTTGAGGTTGTAAATCAAGTTGCCTGGTGGAGGGGGAGGAACGGGGAGGAGCGGAGGGAGAAGGGGAAAGTGAAAAGGAAAAGATGGACCCATATGTACTCCACTGCGATCACACGTCATGTTTTCAGAGTCGACTTAAAACCAGGAAGGGTAAGGGGAAAGGGGTAGGTAGGGAGCAGATGGACCAGAACGTTATTCCCTCCCCTGATATCACATGTCATTTCACCCCTCTACGGTGGCCCATCTTTTCCAGTCCCAGTGACAGCGAAAGACCCGCCAGCCCCAGTGACAGCAACGTACCTGCCAATCTGACAGCGTATTCATCAGGAAAGTCCTCCTCTACAAATCGCAGGTCCATGGCAGCGATGGCCTGCAGCTCCTCAAACACCCACCGCTGGGAAGGGGGGGAGAGAGCAGCCACGTCACGGCCACACTGGACAACGTTCTAGCCCTGTGTCCCATCCTTGAGGCGCCTCAAAAATCCACCCACGGACTGACCTGCCAATCTGACGACGTACTCGTCAGGCGAGTCCTCCTCGGCGAATCGCAGGTCCATGGCAGCGATGGCCTGCAGCTCCTCAAACACCCACCGCTGGGGGCGAGTGAGAGATGCACCTTCCAATCCGCCTGCCAGCCCCACCCAGCACATGAAAGAACCTACCCGCGAGCCTGACGGCGTATTCATCAGGAGAATCCTCCTCGGCGAATCGCAGGTCCATGGCAGCGATGGCCTGCAGCTCCTCAAACACCCACCGCTGGGGGCGAGTGAGAGATGCACCTTCCAATCCGCCTGCCAGCCCCACCCAGCACATGAAAGAACCTACCCGCGAGCCTGACGGCGTATTCATCAGGAGAATCCTCCTCGGCGAATCGCAGGTCCATGGCTGCGATGGCCTGCAGCTCCTCAAACACCCACCGCTGGGGCGGGGCCAGGCGCAGCATGGTGATGTACTGGAACACCGTTCCTACAACGTCTAGCGCCTGGTGGGGGTGAGGTAAGGGGGGGAAGTGGTGTGAAGGGACGGGAAAGAGCGAGGCAATAAGAGGCTTCAAACACCCACCGCTGGGGCGGGGCCAGGCGCAGCATGGTGATGTACTGGAACACCGTTCCTACAACGTCTAGCGCCTGGTGGGGGTGAGGTAAGGGGGGGAAGTGGGGTGAAGGGACGGGAAAGAGAGAGGCAATAAGAGGGTTCAAACACCCACCGCTGGGGCGGGGCCAGGCGCAGCATGGTGATGTACTGGAACACCGTTCCTACAACGTCTAGCGCCTGGTGGGGTGGGAGACGGTGTGTGCGGGGAGGTGGACAGCAGGTAAGAGAGTGCGGTAACTGCAGCACTGCCTGGCGCAGCATGCTCATGTACTGGTGGGGGCGACGGGAGGTGGAAGGGAGAGACCGAGAGGAGCTCGAAGGGATGGAGAGATAGAGGAGGTACCCAAATGAAACCGGAAAAATGATATATATATATATATATATATGTATATATGTAACTTTGACAACACGAGCAAGACTCACGTGTTTGAGCCTATCATTGGAGAGTGTGATTGACCAAGAAAGCAAGCAAGTGACGAGGCCAGGTGCTTCAGATTTGTCTTCTCCGAAAATAGTATCTCGTAACAAGCAAGAAGCAGGACTCACGTGCTTGAGGCTATCATCATCGGAGAGAGCGTGACTGAGAACCGAACCAAGCAAGCAAGCAACCCCAGCGAGACCAGGAGGTTCAGAAAAGAAAAAAATCCTTCTCGGAGAAACAAGCAGGACTCACGTGCTTGAGGCCATCGTCAGAGAGTGTGATTGTAACGGTGAAGACAAAAGCGAGGGAGCTCTTCTCATACCCGCTCTCCCCCACCCCCGCTGCCAGCTCCGTCGCCCACCCCTTGGCCTTGAGCAGCGATAGCAGACTGCCACTGCTCTCTGTGGAAGGGGAAGAGTGTGAATGAGGGAGGAACAAAAGAGGGTGATGAAGGAGGGATGGAGGAAGAAGAGCCAGCTCCGTCGCCCACCCCTTGGCCTTGAGCAGCGATAGCAGACTGCCACTGCCCTCTGTGGAAGGGGAAGAGAGGGCGATGTGGGAGGGACGGAAGAGGGTGACGATGAAGGGAGGCACGGCACTTTTCAGGAGCCTCAGAAGTCAAGGACAGATCACAAGGGAGATCATCAAGGCACAAGTAGAGAAAGATCCTACTTAGTGAGTCTAGCGGGCCACCCCTTCACACTGAGCAGCGATAACAGACTGCCGGTGCCATTTGTGAAGGGAAGAGAAGCTTTGCGCTCCCCTGCAAGTTTCATTTCACCATGCCCGATGAGGTGCGAGAGGCAGTTGTGGGGTTTGCTGGCCTGTCCGCTCCGCATGCAGGGTCTGAGACAATGCAAAGATCTGCCCCCCCTCCCATACCCCCCCTCCCATACCCCCCCTCCCATAACCCCCCTCCCATACCCCCCCTCCCATGCCCCCCTCCCATGTCCTACCCCCCCTCCTGCCTTGACCTTTCCTGCAGGTCTCACCGTGCCTCAAGGGTGTCACCCTCACCGTGGCCAATGAGGTGCGAGAGGTAGTCATGGGGTTTGCTGGCATACTCGGCATGCAGCAGAGATCTGCCCCCCTTCCCATGCCCTCCCCTCCCATGTCCTACCCCCCCTCCTGCCTTGACCTTTCCTGCAGGTCTCACCGTGCCTCAAGGGTGTCACACTCACCGTGGCCAATGAGGTGCGAGAGGTAGTCATGGGGTTTGCTGGCATACTCGGCATGCAGGCACGGCAGTGTCCACATCAACAACACCTGCTGCTGCCACCTGCTGTGTCTGATGAATACCCTCATGCCACCTCCCACTCCCGCTACGAGTCTCACCGTGCCCGATGAGGTGCGAGAGGTAGTCGTGGGGTTTGCTGGCATACTCGGCATGCAGGCACGGCGTGACCACATGAGCGACACCTGCTGTGCCATGCTAAGCTGAGCTGCTGTGAGTTTCACCATGCCTCATAAGGGTGTCACACTCACCGTGGCCAATGAGGTGTGAGAGGTAGTCATGGGGTTTGCTGGCATACTCTGCATGCAGGCACGGCAGTGTCCACATGAGCGACACCTGCTGCTGCTCCTTCACACTCGCCACTTCATACAGCCGCCCCGCCTCCCACACCCCCCTCCACTGCCCCCCATCCCCATCCCCAACCTCCGCCTCCTCCGCCTTGTCTCCCTTCCCCTTCTCCCCTTTCGCTGCGCTTGTCTCTGTCGTCCCCATCTGCATCCCAGGAACAGCAACAGCTGTAGCGGCTGTAGCGGCTGTAGCAGCAGTGCCAGCAGTAGCGGCAGTGGATACCTCAGATGCTGCTCTGCTCCCTGCCAACACCGCCGCCAGCGGTCCCTTCGTCCTAGCTGTAGCAGCCACAGCACCACCACCATCAGCACCAGCAGCACCATCACCATCACCAGCAGCAGCAGCAGCAGCAGCAGCACTGCTACCATTACCACCTCCCACCACTTCCCCTGCCCCCCCCTCCTCCTGCTCCAACCCAGCAGCACCAGGACCCAGCATCTCGGAGTCCTGGGAGGGTGGAGAGAAGGTGGCAGGCGGGGGCAGCTGGTGCAGCAGCGGGTGAATGCCGCTGCCGTCTGGGGGGATGGGCGAGAAGAGCTGCCTCACCCACGACTCGAGTGTGTCCAAGGGCTCTGGTGAATAGCATGGAGAGGACGAAAGAGAGAGGGGCAGAGATGGGAGGAAAAAGGAGGTAAGAGTCCTGTGCGCTTCTCCCCTATCCACGCACCACCAGCACCAGGCCCCAGCATTTCAGAGTCCTGGGAGGGCGCAGAGAAGGTGGCAGGCGGGGGCAGCTGGTGCAGCAGCGGGTGAATGCCGCTGCCGCCTGGGGGGATGGGCGAGAAGAGCTGCCTCACCCACGACTCGAGTGTGTCCAAGGGCTCTGGTGAATAGCATGGAGAGGACGAAAGAGAGAGGGGCAGAGATGGGAGGAAAAAGGAGGTAAGAGTCCTGTGCGCTTCTCCCCTATCCACGCACCACCAGCACCAGGCCCCAGCATTTCAGAGTCCTGGGAGGGCGCAGAGAAGGTGGCAGGCGGGGGCAGCTGGTGCAGCAGCGGGTGAATGCCGCTGCCGCCTGGGGGGATGGGCGAGAAGAGCTGCCTCACCCACGACTCGAGTGTGTCCAAGGGCTCTGGTGAATAGCATGGAGAGGACGAAAGAGAGAGGGGCAGAGATGGGAGGAAAAAGGAGGTAAGAGTCCTGTGCGCTTCTCCCCTATCCACGCACCACCAGCACCAGACCCCAGCATTTCAGAGTCCTGGGAGGGCGCAGAGAAGGTGGCAGGCGGGGGCAGCTGGTGCAGCAGCGGGTGAATGCCGCTGCCGCCTGGGGGGATGGGCGAGAAGAGCTGCCTCACCCACGACTCGAGTGTGTCCAAGGGCTCTGGTGAATAGCATGGAGAGGACGAAAGAGAGAGGGGCAGAGATGGGAGGAAAAAGGAGGTAAGAGTCCTGTGCGCTTCTCCCCTATCCACGCACCACCAGCACCAGGCCCCAGCATTTCAGAGTCCTGGGAGGGCGCAGAGAAGGTGGCAGGCGGGGACAGCTGGTGCAGCAGCGGGTGAATGCCGCTGCCGCCGGGAGGGATGGGCGAGAAGAGCTGCCTCACCCATGACTCAAGCGTGTCCAGGGGCTCTGTGGGAGAGGAGCAAGGGTATGTGGCATGAGAGCGGGAGATAACGGAGTTAGTTCCCTGAGTGCCCCCGGGAGGGATGGGCGAGAAGAGCTGCCTCACCCAAGACTCCAGCGTGTCCAGGGGCTCTGTGGGATTGAATGGAGAGAGAGAAAGGGCGAGGGGGAGATGGGAGGAGAAGGGAGGTAAGAGTCTCAGCCCCCACACCCAGACCCATAAACGCACACGCATCCGCACACTCACCTCCCCCCACTACGACCAGCCGCATCGCCCCGGCTGTGTAGAGCCGAGAACAGAGCTGCAGCAGCCGCTCGAGCATGTCCACACCTGTACCTGCCTGCTGCATGCACACAACCACAAGGGATCGCACACAAACCCCAAACACAAGGACTCACCTCCCCCAACCACCACCAGCCGCATCGCCCCGGCTGTGTAGAGCCGAGAACAGAGCTGCAGCAGCCGCTCGAGCATGTCCACACCTGTACCTGCCTGCTGCATGCACACAACCACAAGGGATCGCACACAAACCCCAAACACAAGGACTCACCTCCCCCAACCACCACCAGCCGCATCGCCCCGGCTGTGTAGCCGAGAACAGAGCTGCAGCAGCCGCTCGAGCATGTCCACACCTGTACCTGCCTGCTGCATGCACACAACCACAAGGGATCGCACACAAACCCCAAACACAAGGACTCACCTCCCCCAACCACCACCAGCCGCATCGCCCCGGCTGTGTAGAACCGCGAGTAGAGCTGCAGCAGCCGCTCCCGCATGTCCACCCCCAGCTTGGCCGGGTCGTCTATGAGGCTCCTGCGGTTGCCCCAGGAGAACCTGCAGCAGCCGCTCCAACATGCCCAAATACCTGAACCTGCTGCATGTGGCACAACCACACCACACCGCACCACAACCAACCCTCAAACACCAGCACTCACCGCCCCCAACCACAACCAGCCTCATCGCCCCGGCTGTATAAAACCGTGAGTAGAGCTGCAGCAGCCTCTCTCTCATGTCCACTCCAAGCTTGGCGGGGTCGTCTATGAGGCTCTTGCGGTTGCCCCAGGAGAACTTGCGGAAGGGGTGGTCTGGCTGCACGCACGTGGAGCACTGCAGCTGCTGCACCCGACACACATCGCTCTGCAGACTTATGTTGAACTCTGGGAGGGAGGAGGGGGGAGATGAGGGTGAGAGGGAAGGGGGCGGGTAGGCCGGGGGAAGGAGGGGGATCTTGTGCGTGCACAGGACAAGGACTAGAGGCAAGGTTAGAGACATGAAACGTTTTTTAGTTGACTCAGAAACAGGAGGGTAGGCCGGGGGAAGGAGGGGGGTCTTGTGCGTGCGCGCACAGGACAAGGACTAGAGGCAAGGTTAGAGACATGAAACGAATCGACAGAATCGAGTCAAGGCAAGTCAACCAAAGTCAATGCAAGTCAACGCAAGTCAACGCAAGTCATTGAAAGTAAACAAACATCAAGGGTCAACACAAGTCAACGGAGGTCAACTCACCCGAGTCCACAGCCTGCACCTCTCTCTCCATGGCATCTGCCTTCACCAGCGGCGCCACAAAGAACTGCGCAAACCTGAAAGGGGGGAGGGAGGGAGGGAGGGAGGGAGGGAGGTGGGGAGGGAGGGAGGGAGGGAGGGAGGGGGGGAGGGAGGGAGGGAGGGAGGGAGGGAGGGAGGGAGGGAGTGAGGGAGGGAGGGAGGGAGGGAGGGAGGGAGGTGGGGAGGGAGGGAGGGAGGGAGGGAGGGAGGGGGGGAGGGAGGGAGGGAGGGAGGGAGGGAGGGAGGGAGGGAGGGAGGGAGGGAGGGAGGGAGGGAGGGAGGGAGGGAGGGAGGGAGGGAGGGAGGGAGGGGGGAGGGAGGGAGGGAGGGAGGGAGGGAGGGAGGGAGGGAGGGAGGGAGGGAGGGAGGGAGGGAGGGAGGGAGGGAGGGAGGGAGGGAGGGAGGGAGGGAGGGGGGAGGGAGGGAGGGGGGGAGGGAGGGAGGGAGGGAGGGAGGGAGGGAGGGGGGGAGGGAGGGAGGGGGGGAGGGAGGGAGGGAGGGAGGGAGGGAGGGAGGGAGGGAGGGAGGGAGGGAGGGAGGGAGGGAGGGAGGGAGGGAGGGAGGTGGGGAGGGAGGGGGGGAGGGAGGGGGGGAGGGAGGGAGGGAGGGAGGGAGGGAGGGAGGGAGGGAGGGAGGGGGGGGGGGAGGGAGGGAGGGAGGGAGGGAGGGAGGGAGGGAGGGAGGGAGGGAAGGGTGTGGGTCGGTCGGGGGGGGAGCCAGTGGCGGCCCAAAGAACAGCGCAGAGCTGATATGAGAGGGGTGCGATGGGCCAGGATGGGGAAGCGGGGTCCAGCAAAGTGTGGGTCTCTTATCACCTGTCAAGAGCAGGGTGCAGGTACTTGCGTGCCACGTCAAAGTGGTAGCACGTGAACTCTGTCTCTGTGCACACATTGCAGTGAAGGTGGAGATGCGCAACTGAAGCTCACCTTCTCATCTCAGACGCCTCTGGGGCTCACTCACCTGTCGAGAGCAGGGTGCAGGTACTTGTGTGCAACGTCAAAGTGGTAGCACGTGAGCTCTGTCTCTGTGAACGCATTGCAGTTGGTGGTGCACACTCCAAGCTCACCTTGTGAACGCATTGCAGTTGGTGGTGCACACTCCAAACTCACCTTGTGAACGCATTGCAGTTGGTGGTGCACACTCCAAGCTCACCTTGTGAACGCATTGCAGTTGGTGGTGCACACTCCAAGCTCACCTTGTGAACGCATTGCAGTTGGTGGTGCACACTCCAAGCTCACCTTGTGAACGCATTGCAGTTGGTGGTGCACACTCCAAGCTCACCTTGTGAACGCATTGCAGTTGGTGGTGCACACTCCAAGCTCACCTTGTGAACGCATTGCAGTTGGTGGTGCACACTCCAAGCTCACCTTGTGAACGCATTGCAGTTGGTGGTGCACACTCCAAGCTCACCTTGTGAACGCATTGCAGTTGGTGGTGCACACTCCAAGCTCACCTTGTGAACGCATTGCAGTTGGTGGTGCACACTCCAAGCTCACCTTGTGAACGCATTGCAGTTGGTGGTGCACACTCCAAGCTCACCTTGTGAACGCATTGCAGTTGGTGGTGCACACTCCAAGCTCACCTTGTGAACGCATTGCAGTTGGTGGTGCACACTCCAAGCTCACCTTGTGAACGCATTGCAGTTGGTGGTGCACACTCCAAGCTCACCTTGTGAACGCACTTCAGAAGCTGCTCACCTGTCGAGAGCAGGGTGCAGGTACTTGTGTGCCACGTCAAAGTGGTAGCACGTGAACTCTGTTTCTGTGAACGCATTCGAGCCGCCACCGTGCCGCCTCAGAAACGAGTCGTACTGCAAGCAAGGAGTGGTGTGTGTGTGAGGGGGAGGGGAAAGGGAGGGAGAATGGAGAAAAGGGTTTGCTCTATGTGGTGTGGGTGCAACGCCAAAGTGATAGCACGTCATCTCCGTGTCTTGTTTTTTAGGCGCCTCAAATATCAACTTGTGTGGGACGCCAAAGTGGTAGCACGTGAACTCTGTCTCTGTGAATGCGTTCGAACCACCGCCATGCCGCCTCAGAAACGGGTCATACTGCAAGGGAAGGGCGTGTATGTATGTGCAGGTGGGGGAGGGGAAGAAGTGTTTTGAGACGTCTCAAAACCCGCCTCAGAAACGGGGCATACGGCAAGGGAAGGGCGTGTATGTATGCGCAGGTGGGGGAGGGGAAGAAGTGGCGAAAATTTTGAGGCACCTCAAAATGCACCTCAATTTTGAGGCGCCTCAAAATCCGCCGCCGTGCCGCCTCAGAAATGGGTCATACTGCAAGGGAAGGGCGTGTATGTATGCGCAGGTGGGGGAGGGGAAGAAGAGATGGAAAGGGGATGGGCGGAGACAAAAAGTGGGGGAAGTGGGGGAGGGTATGCTGTATGTGAGCGACGAAGCAGTGCTTTACATGGTTCAACGGTCACGAGTCAGGGTTCAGGGTTTTAGGGGTCAGGAAGGTTTAGGGTTCAGGGTTCAAGAAGTGTCACTCTGGTGCGTGGCACAGAATAATCCATGACTCTCCAGGAGGGGAGATATGAATACGAATCTAAGGTTTACCATGAAAAGCTTGCTCTAGGGCCCGATTAGGGTTCGAAAGTTACAATAAAGGGTTTGTGGCCTCACCTCGTTCTCGTCAGGGAACTTGACGCTGCCCATGAAGAGCATGTGCTCTGCAGTATGAAGAAGAGAGGGACAGAGGGAGGAGAGAGAATCTGAAACGTCAAAAACTAAGTAAAATCATTTTCGACAGGGAACTTGACGCTGCCCATGAAGAGCATGTGCTCTGTAGTATAAAAGAAGAGAGGGCGGGCAGGATTGAGGGAGGGAGGGTGGCAAGAAGAGGAGAAAATGTAACACGCTTCAGAAATTCCATCGGTTATGTTGAAATGTATTCGTATACATTTATAAATGCCTACAGTAGAGTTTAGTGTAGTTATATAGTTTCCTGCTTGGTGGTGCACCATTTGCCCATTTCCTTGACTATATCTTGTATGCCTTCTATTATTGAACCCCTCTTTTGGCCATCCCCTTATCCTTCTCGTAACTAAGTCAATGCTCCTAGGCTAGGGTTTCTCCTAGCCTAGGAAGCTTCTAATCTCAACATGCTATCAGAGCCTATTAAGTCCTGGCCTGTGGGCCAGCCTCTCGCTTCCGCTGCTGTATTTCCGGTCGCGCGCCTCGGGCGCGTGGCGATTTTCGTTCTGTCCCGCGCCCGGGTGGCGCATGACGTTTTTTTTTTCTGCCCGTCGCGGACCCGCCCCTGGCGCCCGCGACGACGCCCTGAGCCGCCGCGGACCCGCCCCTGGCGCCCGCGACGGTGCCCTGAGCCGCCGCGGACCCGCCCCTGGCGCCTGCAGCGGTGCCCTGAGCCGCCGCGGACCCGCCCCTGGCGCCCGCGGCGGTGCCCTGAGCCGCCGCGGACCCGCCCCTGGCGCCCGCGGCGGTGCCCTGAGCCGCCGCGGACCCGCCCCTGGCGCCCGCGGCGGTGCCCTGAGCCGCCGCGGACCCGCCCCTGGCGCCCGCGGCGGTGCCCTGAGCCGCCGCGGACCCGCCCCTGGCGCCCGCGGCGGTGCCCTGAGCCGCCGCGGACCCGCCCCTGGTGCCCGCGGCGGTGCCCTGAGCCGCCGCGGACTCGCCCCTGGCGCCCGCGACGGTGCCCTGAGCCGCCGCGGACCCGCCCCTGGCGCCCGCGACGGCGCCTCTACCTCACCCCGTGCCTGCACCCACTGCAACCGCCCCTGCCCTACAGCCCGCCGACCCTCTGTAGCCGCTCTGCGGCTTTATCCCCCCCCCCCCCCCCCCCCTCCTTCGTCTCCCTGCAGCCGTGGGGGGGAGGGTCTGGGGGTGGCGGGTGTGGGGGTGATGGGTGGTGTGTTTCCCTTCCCCTCCTCCTCCTTTCGTTCCCACTGCTGCAGCTGCCGCTGGGGGGGGAGGGTGTGAGGGTGTGGGGGAGCCAGGGGAGTGGCATTGGGGTGGCGGGTGTGAGACCAACCAGCCCCCGTCCCTCGTGGGGGGGGGGGGGAGGAGAGTAAAGGGGTGGCAGGAGTGCCTGCCCCTTTGCTGCTGTACCTGCTCTGTTACCTTGTCTGTTGTTGCTGCTTTCTCTGCACTTGGTGTACCTCTGCAGGAGGTGTACTGCACACGGTTCTAGCTGTAGGCATTTAGGGGGTGTGTTGAAATGTATTCGTATACATTTATAAATGCCTACAGTAGAGTTTAGTGTAGTTATATAGTTTCCTGCTTGGTGGTGCACCATTTGCCCATTTCCTTGACTATATCTTGTATGCCTTCTATTATTGAACCCCTCTTTTGGCCATCCCCTTATCTTTCTCGTTACTAAGTCAATGCTCCTAGGCTAGGGTTTCTCCTAGCCTAGGAAGCTTCTAATCTCAACAGGTTATGCTCGAGAATCTGAGAATGCCCGTGAAAATCTTCTCCAGGGAGCAAGGCAGGGCAGCCAAGAGCACCGCAGGGCAACCAAGAGCACCGCAGGGCAACCGAAAAAAAAACCTTTCATTAAACCCCAAACTCTGGGCGAGTGTGCATTCACTGACCAAGGAAATGCGCGAGGCCAAGAGCATCGGGAGGATCCAAGAAGCTTCCCACACCCACGCACATGGCAGCCGCCGCCAGCTGGAAGAGGTGGGGTGAGGAGGGGTGGGGGGAGGCATGGGTGGGGAGGGGTGAGTCAGGGGTGGGGAGGGGTGAGTCAGGGGTGGGGAGGGGTGAGTCAGGGGTGGGGAGTAGGCATGATCATTAGGCCCGACCCGACCCGACCCGACCCGACTTGGGCGGGCCAGCCGGGTTCCGGGTCGGGTCGGGTCGGGTCGGAACTTCAAAAAATCCTGGCCCGACCCGGGTATCGGGTGCCGGGTCAGGCGTGACCCGCCCCCGGGTCGGGTCGGGTAGGGGCCGGGTCGGGTCGGGTCGGGCCAGGACCCCATATGCAGGGTAAGAGGTTCTCCTTACTACTGTGCGGTGTTGCACTGATTGAATATTTGTGTAATATTATTATATGAACGTCCTCCATTTTGTAACTAGACTATGGGGGGTCGCGTCACTATCGATGCGGGCCTGGTAGGCGCGCAGGGGGCGATTAGAACGCGGGACCAGAGTTTAGTCGCTTGTGAGAGCTAAGAATAACTATTTCTATAGAATCGAATATCTCTGCCTGGTCGCGCTAGGTTAAAAAGACCCTTACGCCAACATGGAAACACTAGTAATAGTGTTCCTTAACATGGGCGCGGGTTTAGAGAGTAGTAGAGCTTGAGAACGATTGCTTGCTAGCTGCCTAGGTATTGCAGATCGAAGTCAATGTCGAGGGAACAAACAAACCCTAGACATTGACTTCGCGATCTGCTTTAGTGCAAATTGTCGAGGGAGGAAAAGTCGGGTCGGGCCAAATACTCGACCCGACTTAGGGCGCGGTATCCGAAACCGGGTCGGGTACGACTTCGGGTCTAAATCTGACCCGACCCGACCCGACCCGACCCGACCCGACCCGGTTTCGGGTGTCGGGTCGACCCGACCCGACCGGGTAAACCCGACCCGACCCGGCCGGGCCAGCGCTTCAAAATGCCTGACCCGACCTGGGTCAAAACCCGGGTCGGGTCGGGTCGACCCGACCCGCCGGGGCAGGATGATCATGCCTAGTGGGGAGGGGTGAGTCAGGGGTGGGGAGAGGTGAGGCAGGGGTTGGGAGAGGTGAGGCAGGGGTTGGGAGAGCTGGGGTAGCAGGAAGGTGCGTTACAGAGGAGGATCAAAAGAGAGGCGCAGGCAGCGAGCAAGAGGCAGAGAGGCAGAAGGACGAAGGGAGGGACAGTGGGAGGGGAGACGTGGGGTGGGGGTGGCAACCGAAGCTGGGGAATAGGGAAAAAATGGAAAGGTCCATCAGTATTTGGAGCAAGTATACAGTAGTTGGAATTTGAGAGTTCCCAAGAACCAACAAGTATAGGGTAGTTACGGCACCTTTTTTGCTGCTCCTGGTTGATCGTCATCATCATCGTCATCATCCTCCTCATCATCATCCCCATCAGAATCATCCTCGTCTTCCTCATCATCACCCTCATATTCCTCCTCCTCCTCTCCACTCTCCATCTCCTCCTCACTACCCTCTTCCCCCTCTTCCGCCCCTCCTCCCACCGCCCCCTTCCCTGCACTCTTTTCCCCAGCCTTCCCCTTCCGCCCCAACCCACCACCACCCAGTTTAATCCCCCCCACTTTCTTCCGCTTTCCCCCCACCTTCCCCTCCCCGGTCGTCTCACCCCCTGCTGCCCCCGACTCGCCTTCCTTACCCTGACCATCCCCCTTTCCTCCGACCACCTTTGCCTTTTTCTCCTCTGTTCCGCCAGTTCCTGCGTCCTCCGCCTCCCCTTCCTCCTCCTCACTCGCTGTCTCCCAATCGCTATCCTCACCCTCGTTATCGTCACCTCCCTTCCCTCCTTTACTAGCACCTTTTCGTCCCTTGGACTTCCCACCCTTACCCCCCTTTTCCCCCTTCCCCCCCTTCCCCTTTCCGCTGCTTTTTGTCCCATCTCCGCTTCCCTCAGCCTCAGCAACACTCATCTCCTCATCGCTCTCCTCACTCTCTATCTCATCCTCCTCATCCTCCTCCTCATCATCATCCTCATCGTCATCCCCTGACGCGGCAATCTCAGGGTCGTAAATTAACAGGGTAATTAACCCATTCGGGAGCGTCACCATGCGGTACGCCTTCTTATCCTCCTCGGATTTCACAATCTCGGGATCGTGACCGTTGGATAGGGCCACGTCCGCGTCGCCCTGAAGGTTTGGCTGATCCGCTTGGACATTGTCTACCATATCCACGTCAGCATCCGCTAATGGAGCCCTCGAATCCGCCATGGCTGACACGTGGCAACCAAGCGCAGAGGAGAGTGCTGCGCGCCGTTGGTTTCTTCTCCCAAGGTGTTCACAAGATGAGAGCCGATTCGGGAACAAATGGGTGTGCGACGATAAGCGAAATGAGATATTACTCCTGGACGATCGGGTTACCGTTTGACACCTTTTCGCAAATCCACCCACCAACGCGGTGGTTTCGATTCGTAAGCTGTTCAGGTATCCTGCGGAATAACATGCGGGATTCGCGGAGATCAGCAGTCCCCCGGATTGGGCAGCTGGTGACAATGCAACGGCTCCGTACATCCGACTTTCGCTGACGGGCCGAGAACCAACCGAAGTACCAACTGGCGATCCAAATCAGTTAAATTCGAACCTAGAGACAGAAGCTTGATAACGCAGCGGGTGTAATTGCTTAGAATCTGCAATGAGCCCGCCTCGCGGCGCGAGAAGCCAATGCGCGAAATGTGTGCCAGGAATCCTGGCGAGAAAGGATGGTGAGGTGTAGGTGTTTAGTTTTAGTAGCTATGAATTCAAAACTGCCTTCTTCGATATCCTATACGGTTGCTTTTCAGGCGGGACTTCTACACTCCGGTATTCGTGCTGTTTTAACGTAGTCGAACATAGACTGGTTTTAGCAATTTGTCAAAATGTCTAGCTGCACAAACCTAGGTGTGCCAGCTAAGTTCACGTGTTACCGTGTGTTACCGCTTTTGAACGTAGCATATCCAATGGAAACGTGAAACATGAACTGAAAACCGAGCACGCTCCTCCCTGTGTCAGGGAAAGTCAGCAGCCTGGAGCGGGGGCTTGGTCCCAGCAGGGTAGAGGGGGATGGTGGTGTCGCGTGAAGAGAGCGCCGAACACTGGCGAACGATGTCTCGCGATTGGTCGCGCTGATTCGAGGTTCGTGAAGGCTAGCAGCAAGCACCCTGCGCAAAGGCAGACCTTGGTGCTTTTCCTTGTGTTTGATTTGAACCTGTGATCTTTGTTGGCGCAGCGCGATGAAATCGAGACATGATGCACCATCTGCACCCATTAACATCTCTGAAACAACTGTCTTCACCGAACGTAACATGTCAAGAGCCAAACTGCAATCTCGAAACGGCGCTGTCCTCTTCCAGAAACTGCTTTCGGTTCGGCCCTCCGCCAGTTCCCGCTGTTCCTTGCTCCCACGTTCCACCAGCGCCTGGTGAAGCTGTTCCCAGCGCGCTGTTCCTCATTGGGCTTCCGCCCCGCCGGGCCCCAGCCTTCAGAATTTTCAAGACCATCCCTATTAGGGGGGAGCTTGTTGGATGGCGAGGCCATGCACAGCACATCGCACCACACTGCCTCGCATTTCTCCCGCCTGCGCGAGCCCACCCAGACTTGGCGGGAGGGTTCCCCCATGGGCTGCCCCATCATGTTCCCGCGCGAGCTGCTGTCCTCATGATTGATGGTGGTGGTCTCGAATCTCGATTTGACCCTCGGGATTCTCGAAGACAACAGTTCAGGGAAAGGGGGAAATGGGGAGAATGGGGGGAGCGGGGGGAAGGAGCGCGCTAGTTGGTTGGGTGAGTGTGCATGTGTGGGGGGGAGGGGAGGACAGCCCAGGAGGATGCGGCGGAACTTTTGAAACAGCAGAACCACACGCTGGTTGGTCCGTCCGTAACCTCGTCTAACCACTATTCAACGCGCTACACCCCTGTCAAGGTGACATGCTTGGCCTGCTGGCACTGGGAATATAAATAGGACCAACCAGCCGTTTCTTTTTGTAGGGTTTGATTCTCTCCCAGCACGAGACAGCTTAGAGCATCAGCTCAGCTGCCTGCTAAGGACGAGACGGCCTCTGAATAACCACGCGCTACGTCACGTCACGCCGTCTTCCTACAGGAACGGCGGAGGCGGCGGCGCAGCGGCGGCAACGAAAGAGATTTAAAACGTTGTCAAAGGCGGCCGCTACCGCATCGCGAACTGAGCTGATCGGGAAAGAAAGGCTGACGGTGCTTGACCTAATTCGCAATAGGCTAGGCTGATCTTTTTAGGTCAGGCGAGAACCCTTGCCCTAATTTGGCCGTCTGGGAGAAAACGTATTCAGCACTCAAGCGGGATACTAAGCGGGAAAGTTGTCACGCGGCTCACCATTAATTCATCGTAGCGACAGTTCTGATCTGGTTTGGAAATAGATTCACTACAGATTTGATTCTGCTTCGATGCTGATTTGCTGATTCGATGTTAACGCGCGAGGTCCATTCGGGAGCGGTCCGGAAATTCGGCCTGTAGGCGACGCTTCGCTCTCCTCATTCGTCGCTGCTTCATCGCGTCACGCTCCTTCCACGGGAGCGATCACGCTTGCTGGTCATTGCTGCTGCAATGCCCTAATTCTGCATTGTGCTATAATCCTCGGGTAGCCTTTGGGCGACTTTCGGCGAAGCGGTATTATTCTGCGTCCTGAAGCGATTATACGTCACGGCCGTTTTGTCGTCGGCACCGCAGCAGCCGCAACAGGCGAAAGCCGCAGCACATCGCCTTTGAAGCTCACTGGGGAAGTGGCGTGTCGCAGCCGCTACGAGTGCATCCACAACGGGTGCCGCCGCTGATCGCTGCAGCGCCAGTCAACGGCAGCCGAATCTCTTTCTATCGCATCGTCTACTATCGCAGCTCCTATCATAACAGCTCCAGGTCGTCGCGTCGCGTCCGATGAGTTCCTCCTGCCGGTGACCTTTCGAGCGTCCAGCAGGCGCCGATTGGGTGATTGCGATCGCCATGTCTCGCTGCTGGCCGTATCCCCCGCCGGGGTTCCAGAAGAAGCCTCGGGATCCGTCTCTAAGCGTTCCTAAGGTAATCCCAAGGGGAATGGGACGTATGGTGGAAGCCGAGGTGAATACTGAGTCGGACTTAAAAAGTCACGCCCAGATTTGTCTCTTAGCATCCCTAAGGTAATCCCAAGGAACGAATGGGGAAAAGCGTGGTCGTTGTCGGATGGAATGGTTCAGAGAACTGGGGTGTTCGGAACGGTCTGGTGCGGTGACGTGTTCAAGGCGAGTGGCAGCTGTTGAGGTTCTTTTCTTGAGAGGTGGTTCCGAGTTTCCAGAAATTTCTATTATCTTTTTCGAGATAGGCAATGCCGCATTCCCCTTTTTCGGAATGCCGTTTCGAACAGAATCTCGATTGCTCTAACTCCCAGTCGCTCCGTCGTCCGTGCATCTTTCATTATTGCGTTTAGGGTTCTCGTCGTCGCTCTCCGTTTGCCGACTGCGGTATATCGCTACGGATCGGAATGCGTTCCTGTGACCCGTTCTTCCCGATGTAAAATCTTGAAAAATCGTTAATATATTATTGCCCTTCCCTGATCAGTAAATATCTCTATATCCGCCCACCCTGCATTCCCGCCTTTTGCTGCCGACCAGGAGACGAGATCGGAGGGGAAAGATAAAGATCGAGACAAGGATAAGAAAAAGAAGAAGAAGAAGCGGCATAGGGAAGGGGGCGAGGGGGAAGACAAGGAGGAGCGGAAGCGGCGCAAGGAGGAGAAGAAGCGTTCTAAGGAGTCAAAAGAGCCCAAGGAAACTAGAGAACCCAAGGATTCTAAGGAATCAAAGGAAAAGGAGTCTAAGGAGAAGGAGTCTAAGGAGCACCGGAAGCAGTCGTCTGAAGACTCGGCGCGCAAGGAGAAGGATGGGAACACGGAGAGGGGGGCGGGCGGGGAGAAGGGGAAGGGCGGGGACACGGATAAGGGGAAGGGCGGGGAGAAAGAGAAGGGTGAGAAAGGGGAGGGTTTGCGTTTGGAGACGTCTCGGAAAGAGGAGAAGAGCAAGGGAGAGAAGGGTGAGGGTTTGGGTCTTGAGACGTCTCAAGAGGAGGAGAAGGGCAAAGGCAAGGGGGATGACGGTCAGGGTTCGGGGAAAGATAAGGGTGAGGGCGAAAAACAGAAGAGTGAATTGCGGAAAGATGTGGGGAAGGAGGAGGAGCAACGGGAAAAGGCGAGTGGAGAGGGGAAGGAAGGGAAGGAAGGGAAGGAAGGGAAGGAGGGGAAGGAGGAGAAGGGAAAGGAAGAGAAGAGGAAGGAGGAGAGGAAAGAGGGGAATAAGGAGGAGAGAAGGAAAGATGAGAAGAAGAAGGAGGATAAGCATAAGGATGAGAAGAGGAAGGAGGAGCGACACAAAGAGAAGGAGAAGCGGAGGGAGGAGAAGCGGCGAGACGAGAAGCACAGAGACAAGCATAAAGGTCCGCCTTTCCATGCCCCACCTCGCATCCACAGCTTATGCTCTGCCATTCCAGTTTCCCGTTCCCATGTGATTGTTTTCATTCTACCCCGTGGTGTCATTTCGTTCCCATTTAGGTTCCATCCACCACTTCTGATCCATCATGCCTCTCCTCCCTGTCCCCTCCTGCTCGCACTGCCACAGACAAGAAGCCGGACCGCAAGGCGGTGGTGCCTCAAGGCAAGGTGTGAGTCAAGACAAAAGTCATTCTGTTTCTCTTCCATCCTGCCGCCCCTCCATGTTCCCCTCCTGCTCGCACTGCCACCGACAAGAAGCAGGACCGCAAGGCGGTGCCTCAAGGCAACGTGTGAGTCGAGACAAAAGTCATTCTGTTTTTGTTCCATCCTGCCGCCCCTCCATGTTACCCTCCTGCTCGCACTGCCGCAGACAAGAAGCAGGACCGCAAGGCAGTGCCTCAAGGCATGCCCAACGGGGAGAACGGCATTCCCCGCGCTCCTGCCCCCCCGGATACACGTGGCGTTAACGCATTGGACACACGTGGCACTAATGCGTTGGAGCCACGTGGCGTTAATGCATTGGATACACGTGGCACCAGCACAGCTGACGCTCGTGCTTCCAGCAAGCAGGAAAAGCAGGATACACGTGCGTCTCAGCAGCAGGACACACGCCCCTCCGCAACCCTTAACGAACGGATCTCGAAATCAACGGACGGCAACGCTCGGGATCTGAGCTCAGCACCAGGAGCGCCCAAGCCGCTGCACGGGTCAGTCTCAACCCCTGATCTCCGGACAGGTCAAGATCAACGGCTGCGATCGTCCGACAGCCGGGGGCATCACGATTTGAAATCAGAGGACGTGAGACTGGGGAACGGGAAGGGGGAGGAGAGAAGGGAAACTCAGGGGACGGATAGGGACAGGCAGGATAGGAGAGAGGGGAAGGGACGGCAGGGAGAAGGTGGGCAGGTCTCCTCAGGTGCTGCTGTGAGAGCAACATCAGAGCCTTCTAAATCTGGAGGGAAGCCGGGGTTAGAGGAGCTGAGAGATCTCCAATCAGCAATGGAGTTGAGAGGAACGGGAGCGAAAGGGGCTCCTGCTGCAGCCGCTGCCGCGCCGGGCGTGGGTGGAGTTGGAGAGAAGCGGGCCGGAGTGTCGCCAAGCGATAAACCTCCGGTGCACGGAGCAGGGAGGCAGAACGGGCGGGTGGGCGACCTGCTGCAGAGCCACAAGCGCAGCCACGGCAGCCAGAGCAGCCAGGGCAGTTTGGGAAGTCAAGGTAGTCAACCCAGTCAAGGCAGTCATGGCAGTCAGAGGCCCGGGAAGGAGGGACAAGCAGCAGGGCAGGGCACAGGGGATGGGGATAAGGGAGGGCATGGGACTCGTGAGGGTTCGGACCGTCGCCACCACCACCATCATCATCATCCTTCCCGCCTCGCCTCGTCCTCCTGTGTCTCAGAGCCTGGTGCTGGACCGAGCGCCTCTGCTGCAGCTGCTGCTGCTGCTCTGAAAGGGATGGGGCGTTCGGCCAGTTTAGGGGCAGGTGGGGGGGGAGGAGCAGCAGGAGCAGCGGCGGCGGCAGCGGCGGCAGCAGCAGGGGCTGTATCAGGGGCAGGAACAGGGGCAGCAGGGGCGTCGCCTGCAGATAGCAGCAGAAGCGGGGGCATGTCTGGGGCAGTATCAGGTAAATCCCGCAGCAGCAAGCGGCGGCACCACCGCAGCAGAAGCACAGCGAGTGGAGGGGCGGGGCTGAGTGGGGGACCTGGTGTTAGTGACACGTCTGCAGCTGAGGTGCTGTCCCCTCTTAGACCCACAGGCGAACCGCGAAACGACACCCGAATTGACTCCGGAAACGAACCCCGAAACAATACCCGACCGGATCCTCAAAATAAGCTTGAAAACGACTCCCGGCTGAAGGCCTTCAGCCCAGCTTCCGCCGCCGCTGCTGCCACTGCCACTGCTCCTTCTGCTGCTGCAGCTGTAGCGAAAGGCATGCCTGCCACACCAGGGGAGAACGGGTTTCATAAACAGGGCGAACGGAGAGGAGTGAAGGAGGGAAGGGAGGGGAGGGAGGGGCGAGAGGGTCGGGAGGGGAGGGAGGGGAAGGAAGGGAAGGAAGGGAGGGAGGGGCGGGAGGGAAAGGAGAGGCAGAGGGAGGGGCGTGAGAAGAGGAGGGCGGAGCCTCCAGTGGTGGTGGATCAGACGTTCCTCGCATTCGACAACGCCACACACGGGCTTGCTGAGGCGCTGGCTGAGATGGAAGCCGAAGTGAGCTTTGCTGACTGGCTCATGCCTGAGCCGGGGGTGGGCGAGAGGGGGGAGGGAGATTTGGGAGGTGTGGGAGGTGTGGGGGTGAAAGATGGAGGGGTGAAAGGTGGGGGTTTGGAGGGGAAGGATGTGGAAGAGAGGAGGGTGAGAGAGAGTGGGATGCAGGATGTGGATATGAAGGACGGTGCTGGAGGTGAGGATGAGGGGGGTGAGGATGATGAGGAGGAAGGGGACGGGGAGAAGAGTGAGAGAGTGGTGTGGGCAAGCCCGAGGTACCTTCCGGAGTTTGACGTCTGTATACTGCCCTTCATCCCGCCCTTCTGACGTCACAAGTACACCGCCCTTGATTCCTCCCGCACAAGTGTACCTCAGCCTGCCATTCGTCCCGCCTGCCCTTCATCCCATCCTTGTGTTGTCACACGTGTGTGAGTGACTCAATCATCAAGCCCGCCCTTCACACACTTGTGAAAGCCTCTCGGTCTTCAAGTTACTAAGCGTGCAGCCGTGGACTTGAGTTTTGCTGGAGGTGACCACTCACTCACAGGGGTCGCATGGGTCATGAGTCATTAGTCATGGGTCATGAGTCATGAGTCATGAGGGTTATGGGTCATTCATTGCCTGATTGTGTAGTTCTCTGCGCTGGGAAGCTGCTGAGAAGCTGCCTGGTAAGGGAGAGCTTTGTATTGCATGTTGTTGGCTTGTTGCGGACGGGCTAAGCATGCCGATTGATCCATCTAGTTGATCCATCTAGTGCATCCATCTAGTGCATCAGTTTTGCAGCGTATGCGTGCCTAACGTACGGGTGTCAGAGAGTAGTTTCACTCAGGGTAATCGCTTACCAAACTTGCAATCAAAACACGCTGAAAGATGTGGCGTATGAATGTAGCCTGACCTGCCGCCAAACCAACCTTCAATGTTCCATTTTCCTTTCACAAAATTACATCTGAGCAAGGGAATGTGTCATGAACATAATGGACTTCAGAATTATCTTCAAGTTGATTAGTACATTAAGGGGTGTGGCTACAAATGCACTCCTACTGTGTCGCATCTCTCCATTCGCAGGGCGGTGGACTGCCTTGAATCTCCCTCCCTCCCTCCTGCCTCTTCACAATAGCGTTTCTGAATCCGGCGGCTACTCGCCCGCCTAGACACGGCGGTCTACCCGCCTACCTCCGCGAGCCTGCTTTCAGCCTCGCTTCAACTGCAGCTGCAACCCGTTCTGAAACGCAAAGGCTGCGTTTTCTCAAGAGTGGGGGCTTGTTTGAGACCGCGACAAGGTTTTGGGACTATCGAAGTTGGGTCACTACGGTTCCAAAACCTGTATACTTTGAGGCATCTCTCGATTACTCCGAGAGCTTTCGGAAAGCAAGAATTCTTTCACTTAGGTAGAGGGGCTTGGTGAGCGGAAGGGGGTTAATGGCGGGTGGGAAACGGCGATACGTGGAAGAGGAGGAGGAGGAGGAACCGGCTCCTTTCAGCCGGCGACATACTGCTGTAAGGCTTTCCGCTTGAATGCTCTTCGCCTGGATGCTTTTCGTTATGTTGCTGGCGTAAAAGAACCGTTTTTGTACCACAAAATTTCTTCTTTTATCCGTTCACATCAAGCCGGAAATTTCTCGTTGTATGATTAGAATATGAATCGGTTGGACGAGCCGTGACCACCTCCCCATACCTCGCCACATTGAGTCATCATTTCATCGCCTTTCGTCCCGCACCTCCCCCTCTTCCTCTTCTTCCTTCTCGTCCTCCTCACCCTCCTCGTCCCAATCGTCACTTCCCGTCACTCCTCCTACTCCCCTTACTCCTCCACTCTCTCTTTTTTTTACCAGAACCACCAGCAGAAGAGAGGAGCAGCAGCAGACGCACCGCCAGCAACCGGATTCAACGGCTTCCCATCCTTCACCACCGCTCCGTTCCCTGCTGCAGCCAACAATGCAGCAGCAGCATCAGCATCAGCGTCAGCATCAGATTCAGCCGCTGCATTTCCCGACCAGGCCCGAGCACAGGAGTGCCTGAACACTGTCCGCGCACTCAACATGCAATTCGCCAGGTCGGTAACCCGCATTCGCCAATTCGTTGGGTATAGCCTGGCTGGGTCCGACCATGGGAGTGTCTGACCACTGTTCTGTTGACGCACTCAACATGCAGTTCGCCAGGTTGGTTACCATACCACCATGGTAGGCCTGTATCCGTCCTAATGCAGTGAGGTGTATTTTGAGGCGCCTCAAAATTCGCCAGGTTGGTTACCATACCACCATGGTAGGCCTGTATCCTATCATTTTTCCTGTAGATCACCGCAGCTGCTTCACTGCTGACTAGTTTTGAGGCGCCTCAAAGCTAGCTTCACTGCTGACTTTCGTGTACCTCATTGCCTGTTGCATCGCGCATTCCTGTGGTGTGAGTGTGTTCGAGTGCGCATGCATGCGCGCGTGTATACATGGGTGGACGTGCGTGTTTGTGCATGTATGCATGTGTGCATGTGTGCATGTGTGCATGTACGCATGTGTGCATGTGTGCATGTATGCATGTGTGCACGTGTGCATGTGTGGATGCATGCATGTGTGCATGTGCATGTGCGTGAGTACGCATGCATGTGTGTGAATACACGTGCATGTGCTTTTGCGCTCATGTATGCATGTGCATGTGCACGTGCAGTTGGGTGCAGCAGCAGCAGAAGGAGCATATTGACGAGCTGTGGAGCGATGGGGTGCATGACTACATTGACCATGCCACCACCCTCATGGTAACACCATAACACATGCATTGATGGGGTGATTGGGTGCATGACTCCATTGACCATGCCACCACCCTCATGGTAACACCTGCTGTGTCATGGTGGTGTTTCGTGGAATGCCATGGTAACGTTGAGTGCATTGGTCACCCTTATCTTATGGTTACTTATGACTGTAATTTTTGACAGTGGTATCGTACTCATGAGGCTTTGTTTTCTGCTCTACCATCACCTTCACACACACCTTCACACACACCTTCACACACACCTTCACACACACCTTCACACACACCTTCACACACACCTTCACACACACCTTCACACACACCTTCACACACACCTTCACACACACCTTCACACACACCTTCACACACACCTTCACACACACCTTCACACACACCTTCACACACACCTTCACACACACCTTCACACACACCTTCACACACACCTTCACACGCCCCATTTAGGCACCTCAAGTCAGGAAACACTTACGCACGCACTCACATACATCCTCACACACCCTCACACACACTCTCACACACACCCTCAAACACACCTCACACACACCCTCACGTGCTGTGCAACCCACACCCCCTCCCTTCCCCAGGCCACCTATAAGGATGTAGTTGACTGGATTAAGTCCAAATCCGCCTCTCCACCGCCTTCCACCGCGCCAACTGCACCTACAACCTCATTCAACGCCCCTGCATTCACCACATCCCCATTCGCCTTCTCCCCAGCAACCGCAGCAGCACCCACCACTACCACTGCCAACACCACTACCACCAAGACCGCCAACATCCCCACCAGCTTCACCACTGGCACCACCACTGGCACCATCAGCACCGCCACTGCTCCCTCCATTCCCATGTTCGGGCCTGTAGGAGTCAACATGTGGTCCCCTCGACCTGGCGCCCCTCCCCCCTTCCCTCCTCCTAGCGGCTTCTTCTCACCTTCCTCCTCCAATCCCCCCGCTGCTGCTCCTGCTGCCGCTGTCGGCACTGCCAGTTTCGGCCTTGCCTCGTCATCCCCTCCCACCACTGGCACTGTCAGCTTTGGACTCACGTCCTCTCTTACTGCTCCTGCTGCCGGTTCTCCCCCTGCTGCTGCCACTGCTGCTGCTTCATCTTCCCCTGGTGCCGGCTCATCTCCTCCTGCTGCTACAGCCGCTACAGCCGCTAAACCTGCTACAGCAGCGGCAGCGCCTGCGCCAGCAGTGTCCTTCTCTGCGCCCTTCTCAGCGTCAGCCAGTCCCTTCGCGTTCTCGGCTGCACCATCCGCGGCCCCCGCATTTGGATTCTCAGCAGCAGCACCGCTCGCACCCATCACTGTCGGTGGGGCAGCCAAAGGTGAGTGTGCAAGCAAGGTTTTGCAAGGGGGCTCAGGGTAGAGGCACACTGCTGGCGCGGCGCCAGTTGCTGCTGCTGCTGCTGGTGGTGGGGGTAGCATCGGCCCCCTCGCCTTTTTCAGCTGCAGCAGTCCCTGCGCCAGCAGTGTCCTTCTCTGCGCCCTTCTCAGCGTCAGCCAGCCCATTCGCCTTCTCAGCTGCACCCTCTGCGTCCCCCGCATTTGGCTTCCCTGCAGCAGCACCGCTCGCCCCCATTGCCGTCGGTGGGGCAGCCTAAGTTGAGTCGTGAGTCATCTCAAAACTTTCTATGCGCCCTTCTCAGCTGCTCCATCCGCTTCCCCTTCTTTTGGCTTCCCTGCAGCAGCACCGCTCGCACCCATTGCTGTTGGTGGCACAGCCAAAGGTGAGCGGTTTGAGAGGCAAGAGCAGGTACCTGCGAGTCCATCAGCGAAGAGAGCAGAGGAGTGAGAAGTGCTACTCTTCCCATCGGTAACAACAACCCATCCCCCTCCCCTTCCTTCGCGTCTGTCAGAGGAAAAGGAGGAGGAGGAAGAGCGGGGACCTGCAAGTTCATCAGTGAAGAGAGCAGAGTGAGAAGTGCTACTCTTCCCTTCGTTAACAACCCATCCCAACCCATTTCCACTCTCCCTCCCTCCCCCTCTTCCCCCTTTTGCATCTGTCAGAGGAAGAGGAGGAGGAGGAAGAGCAGGGACCCGCGAGTTCATCAGTGACGAGAGCAGAGGAGTGAGACGTGGTTCCATTCCCCTTTACAACGCATCCCAGTACCAACCCTATTCCTCCCTCGCCCCCCCCTCTCTGTCCTTTGCTTCTGGCAGAAGAGGAGGAGGAGGAAGAAGAGCAGGGACCTGGGAGTCCGTCAGTGAAGAGAGCGGAGGAGAGTGGGGTGGACATAGTGCACGAGGCACGCGCTAAGATATACGTGCAGGTAGATGCATGCATAATTCGTTATGAGAACCTGGGAATATGCCATGTGCCATGTGCCATGTGCGTCTTGAGATGCTGGGTGCTTTTGAGAAATCTCAGAAACACCCCAGCCATTCTGCTCTTCCCTCCTGCACCTCCCTCCCTTTGCTGTATTCCCCGAGTGAACACAGCGAAGGGCGAGGAGGGCCCGGCTGGAAGGACAAGGGCAGCGGCACAGTTTTCGAGCTGCTTCAAGCATCAACCTTTTACCCACTCACTCCCCCTTCTTGCTGTTCTCTCTCAATCTCCCCCCTTGGAATGTCATCCCCGAGTGAGTGCAGAAGGCCAAGGGCGAGGACGGCCCGGCATGGGCAGCGGCACAAACCTTGAGGCAACTTAAACATCGTCTCTTGCATCCCTCACTCTTGTGTTCTCTGAGTGAGTGCAGAAGGCCAAGGGCGAGGACGGCCCGGCATGGAAGGACAAGGGCAGCGGCGCAGTGATTGTGAAGCTGCACAAGGGAGGGGCGTCCCTGCGCGCCTCTGTGCTGTTCCGGAATGATGTGAGTGCAGGGAGGGTGGAACTGGGGTGGTATTGGGGGCGTTCCGGAGTTGTGAGTGCTCAGTGCTCAGTGCTCTCGAGGCTTTAGGTCGTGGTGAAGGTGCACAGGGGAGGGGAGACTTTGCGCGCCTCAGTGCTGTTCCGGAATGATGTGAGTGGGATTTTCTGGGAGACAGGTGGCTGGGATTGCTGGGTCGATTGTTACTAATTCGGGATGGGATGGGCTGGGATGGGATGGGGTGGGAGGTGAGGCGAGTCGATGTGATGCGGATGTGATGCATGCGGGTGCACAAAGTAGCAGCGCTGCACAAGGAAATTTCAGACATGCCCCTGCCTTTTGTTTTCTTTGTCTCTTGGTCTTCCATGTACATTCTCCGACGGGCAGGTGGGCAAGGTGATGCTGAACGCACCTCTCTACAAGGGCATAACCATCATGCTCAAGAAGAACAACATCACCGCCGTGCTGCAGTCATGTGTACGTCATGCACTCATGTGTGCAATTATCTACCATTCCAACGTGGTCTTTCTCGATCATGCTTAAGAAGAACAATTTCACTACCGTGCTGCAGTCATGTGTCCGTCCTGTACTTGTAATCTTTAGTCCATGCACCGAACTCAACACGCCACCTCATTTGCACGCTTCACTTGTGCATGCATGTATGTAACGCTGTGTATTGTATCTGTCATGTGACTTATATTCACTGGGCTTGGTTGCAGCAAGATGACACTGCTCCTGCCGGCACCACGCTTGACAAGTCCCCGAGGCCCGTGACCTTCAAGCTTGCGTCGGTGAAGGCAGCAGAAGACTTGCAAGACGGGTTCAAGGAAGCTTGTGATAAACTGTGAATTACAAGCTTCAACGTAGGGAGTATGTTTGGTAGGAAGGAGGGTCCTTCTTAGGAAATACGGGTGTCTGAATTGACGTAGTAATAGTATCAGTCCATGCTTTCCAAACATCGACAGTTCATTTTGCAGATTGAGAGAGCATTCAAGTCAACCACCACGCGTCTTCTTTCCTTCAAAGGCACTATACACTGGACGTGGAGCTGTACTACTGGGGACGGCATATTGTGTTTGGTGGATGCTTCAAAGAACCATATTACCAGTGCCCGATTGATTATCGCTAGCTGTATTGGAGCTAGTTTATGAAAATGACATGGCAAGGGCCAATCGCTTTAATATCTGAAAAACTGGTTACAGGTTTTTCTGAATCTCAAAAGTCCATGAGCCTTGCGAACCCAAATGAGCGTGATGAAGCATGATCATCAAATAAGATAATAAATTTTATTGTTAGAAGGGTTTATTGTGTGCTCATCATACATCTGTACCGTACGTGAGTGCTCATTTACGGAATGAGAACTTTCTGTCATCGGTAACATCTATCCACCTGTCAGTTACAGCAGATTGTTTCGCTCGCGATCACCTCATAAAACCCAAGATTTCGTCACCACCATTCGCCACTTCAGGCTCCGAGAACCCCGAGGCCCATCGCAAAGGTAACGCCGAGCCAATCAACGGACGAATGAGATCACGCCAAGCGTGCCTTATCCTCTTCGGGAATCTGGAAATCGCTGGCCTCCCAGTAAGCCTCGCTGATCTCCCCACCACACACCCGCTCCCCCCTCGTGCAAGGACGGATGTGAACTCCAATTTGATTCCCCACCTACACCTCTCAAGACAATCTGTTGTCTGGTCACCGCATACTCCAGCTTCCACACCAGATTCCTCTCCGCAGTCAGCTCATCCAGCCAAAGCCTACTCTCAGCCATGGCTGCCTTCGCTGTCTGCTCTGCCTCCGTGGTGGCTCCCACCAGCCTCTTGGCTAACAAGAGCGTTGCGTCGAGCAAGGTGTCCGCCACCCCCATGCTCGTCAGCAACAAGAGCCGCGTTGTGATGAGGTAGGTCTGCCGACGCAACGTCGTTATTATCTCTTAACCGGGTCCGTCCCGCCAACATCCGCTTCGGCCTCGCTTGTCGTAATGACTGAATTAGTGAAAGCTTGGTGTGGTTATTAGCATAACGTTGATTACTTTTCTAAAATCCCCTTTTCCTGCGTTTCGTTGATTTACAGCGCGAAGAAGGAGCAGAACATCGCTCTCCCCGTCACCGCTGCTCTGATCGCTGCTGCCGTCATCCCCGAGATTGCTGAGGCTGCCCAGCCCGGCGTGTCCCCCTCACTGCAGAACCTGATCAACAGCGTGATTGCTGGCGGTGTTGTCCTGGGAGGCATTGCCGTAGCTATCGTTGGCGTGTCCACCTTCGACCCCGTCAAGAGAAAGTAAATGGTGGATGCACCCCTTGTTCAAATTTTGTGAAACTATAGTACATTGTGCAGACTACCGTCCCTGCTTTCGGGTCTAAATATTTAACAATCGCACATACTTGCTCATCACACATGGGGGTCCATGAAGCCATCTTTCTACGTCTACGCTGAGACCGCGTTTAACTGCAATGCGTGATGCATCCGACGTCCTTGGAATTGTTATTTAGGAAATGATAACGCACACTAGGAATCGAATCAGACCTTCGTCGCCTCAGCTTTAAAGTAGGAGCACGTGGATGTCGGAAGTCAGTATGAAAGCATCGTCTGCTAGCTAAGTAGGATACGCAGCTACGGTGTATTGCGTCAGACACATCAGTCGAGCACAACACCCAAGACAAGTCAGCATCTACCATTCATATTCCTACATATACGTTACCTTCACATACCCTCCCATACACCTACATATGCGTACTATGGTACATAATCCTGACAAACTTAACTAGCATACTACCAAGTACCACATCTAGCAACTAGAAGCAGATCTTCCCACAGGTCTTGTCCTCCTGACACTGTTAAACAACAATCACATTCGGTCAGTGGTTCTGGCACCCCCAGGAGATGCATCATCAGCAGCACCTGCAGCACCAGAATGAAACTCACTGCTGCTGCTGACACAGCTCCACCACCTGTCAAGCTTAGTACCAGCCAATGAGGATCCAGCACCAGCAACAGTGGCAGCAGCAGTAGCAACAACACTCTCTTCTTCGTCTTCCCCAGTAACCACCATCTCTTCGTCCTCTTCCTCCTCATACTCTTCATCCTCCTCCAGCACACAAACACCCTCTGAAAACTCGCTAGGCCTCCTCAAATGCCTGCTGTACCTGCTGCTGCTGCTGCTACTAGAGGGCCGTCGCCTTCCCAAGCTGTTGTTGCTGCTGCTGCTGCTCCCACCACCTCTGCTCCAATAATCGAACAACGGCGAAGCTGGGAGGAGGTGCGGGAGGGCAGGAGACGAAGCAAAGCGCGGAACCAAGCCTCCTTTGGGATCCCATTCTTGCGCTGCCACATGCTGCCGGTCCTCATGGGTACCATACATCACATGCTCGCCATGCTGGTGGCTACTACACACATCATGCTGCCGGTCCTCACGACTACCATGCATAACATGCTCCCGATGCTTATGGCTAGCATGCTGCCGATTCTCATGGCTGCCATACATCACATGCTCGCCATGGTGATGGTTATGGTGCATCTCATGCTGGCGACCATGCCTTCCATGTTCAACAAACCGACCTTCAGGCTTCTTGGCCGAGCACATGTCAAGGGGTTGCTGTGAGTGCTGCACGTGCGTGCTGCCAGTGGGTTGGGCTGGATAATGCGACTGCTGCTGGTTCTGGTGACAACAGTGCAGGTGTTGTTGATGATGATGCTCCTGGTCCAGATGATGCTGTTGCGCATGGTGCTGGTGAAAGTGCTGCTGATGGTGATGAAGATGCGGCTGATGGTGCTGCTGCTGCGATTGCGGCTGTTGATGCTGCTGCTGGTAATGGGGCGAGCATGCTGCGGTTGGGCAAGAGAGCGACTGGAGAGAAGCAGCGTGGGACGGCATGGGATTGCGTGCAAACGGCACATGCGGGACAGGTTGTTGTGCCACTGCTGGAAACAGCTGGTACGGACCTGCCTGGTACACCATAGGATGGTTCGGTATTGCTTGGTACGGTACAGGCTGGTTCGGTAGAGGTGGATTTGCTGAGAATGTTTGGCTTGTGACATGGCATGGGTGTGGGGCCCAGGCAGAAGGGAATGTGCTATGAGCATGGGGGTGTGAATGGTCAGCATGGGGATGTGAATGGTCGTCAGATGAAGGCGGTCGGTCGTGGTTGCAGCAGCAGGACTGATGGGACGGATGCTGCTGCTGCTGCTTATGCTGCTGATGCTCCTGCGGATACTGCTGGTGTTGCTGCTGATGCCAACGCTGATATTCATGCGGATGGCGCTGCTGTTCTTGAGCCACATCATCACCCTCATACTCCATCTCATGCTCACTGCCATGCCCGTGCGCATGCGCATGTGCATGCGCATGCCAGAGCGTATGCTCTTGCTCGCACCATGCCTGGTACGATCCAGCACAGTCATCACAGCGGCAGCGAGAACCACCTCCCATCCTTCCCTTCACTCCCTCCCCTCCCTTCCCTCTCTTGCCTCCCTTCACTCCCTCCACTGCCTCCTCTCCCTCCTCTCCCTCTCCTCCCTTCCCTCCTTTCCCTCCCTTCGCTCCCATATGCCCCTTCACTCCTTCGCACTGGAGTTTCTTGGATTTCACGCCTACCCTCTCCGCTTTCCGGTCTATCTCCTTGTTGCTCTCGTCCCCTGACTCCTCCCCTCTCACCTCCTCCACCTGCCCCATTTTCGCCTCCACTCTCTCCCTCTGCCCGTCCCTTCCTCTCTCCTCTCTCTTTTTCTCTCTCTCTGCCTCCCTCTCTGCCTCCCTCTCTTCCTCCCTCTCTTCCTCTCTCCCTTTCACCTGATACCCTGCTCCCCCGTCCCTCGCGCCATCCCACCGCCCCTTGGCCCCGCACCCCTCGCACAGCCACTGCAGCCCTTCAACCTGGCAGCACGGGCACGCTACGCGAGCCAGCAGCAGCACCGGCACCAGCGACGGGGGGACAGCAGATTTGGGGAGGGCAGATTCGGAGATGGCAGACTCAGGGAGGGGAGACTCAGGGAGGGGAGATTTCGGGATGGTAGACCTGGGAACGGCAGGTTGCGGGGTGGCAACGTTTCCCAGCACGCATCTAGAAGCATCACTCTGCACTGCAGTTTTCTCCCCGTCATCCACTCCTCCCCGCCTCCGTGCCCCTCCTCCTCTCCCCGCTCCTACCCCAGCCCCCTCCAGTGCCTCACATTGACCACATCGCATTCTCTGCTGCTCTCTCCTCCTATCAACCCCTCCCGTTATCGCTCCAGTCCCACTTGCCACCTCTTTCCCATCTCTCCCCCCTTGCCGCAGTTCTCCTACCATCCTCTCCCCCATCCTCCTCCCAACCCCCCGTCCCATCCTTTCGATCCCGTCCCCTGCCCTCTCCCCCCCACCAACCTTCAACCAACTCTCTCTCACCCAATGCACCTCCTCCCCGTCCCCCTCTCCTCTCAGCCCTACCCGACCCCCCGGGCTCCTCTGCCCTGCTCCCGTCTGTGCCCCAGCTCCCACACTTCCTGCTCCCTCCCTCCCCGTTGCAGCGGCAGTGGCAGCAGAAAACAGCGGAGCAGCCCGAGCAGGAGCGGCAGGAGCAGAAGCAGCAGGAGCAGCAGGAGCAGGAGCAGGAGCAGCAGGGGAAGCAGCAGCAACCGCAGGAGCAGCAACAGCAGGAGCAGCAGGAGCAGAGGAGGTTCGAGTGCATCCGCAACGCACCAGCCTGCCTGTCAGACCAGGGGCAAGCAGTGCTGCCACCGCCGCCGCAGCAGCCGCAGCAGAAGGATCAGAACCAGCAGAAGCAGCAGCAGAAGCAGCAGAAACAGCAGAAGAAGCAGCAACAGAAGCAGTAGCGGAAGACGAGGCTACAGCAGAAGCAGCAGCAGCAGCAGTAGCGGAAGATGAGGCTACAGCAGAAGCAGCAGCAGCAGCAGGTGGGAGGGGGGAGGGCTGGTGGAGGAAGCGGGAGAGGAGGAGAGCCTTGAGAGGTAGGCAGGGCAGGCAAGGTGGGGGATAGAGGTGGCACGGCTGCTGGGTAGGCGACGCGGTGGAATGGCGGGGAGAGCAATTACCACCAGCAGAAGAAGAAGCAGTAGCAAAGGCAGAAGAAACAGCAGCAGCAGAAGAAGAAGAAGAAGCAGGAACGTCGACCGGAGCCCTTGAGGTTGACGGAGACGCAGGCTCAGATGCAGATACAGACTCTGATTCAGAGGCAGCAGGAGGGAGAGGAGGGGCAGGAGGAGCAGCAGGAGCAGACGAAGGAGCAGGAGGAGACGGAGAGAGAGCGGAGGGTGAATCGATGTGAAGCTGTTGAAGGCGAGAGGCGAAGAGAGGGAGAGAGAGGGTTGTGAGGGGAGGCGGAGGAGTGGCGGTGTGCTCTGAGACAGGCGCGAACGGCGGCATGCTGCTTGCACTGCTGCTGGTGCTGGCACCGGTACTGGCGCTGCTGCTGCTATTGCTGCTGCTGCCACACGCAATGTTCGCGGCACCTGCAGCACCACTCACGCTGCTGCTCTCTTCCGAAGGCACGAGAAGTGTGGCACAACCCAACTCTCCACATCCGCACTCCAGCACACTGCTGCTGCCACTCGCCTCCTTGGCATGTTGATTTACTCGACTCAAAAAACTGCTCCCTTGCGCATGCTGCGTCGCAGTGCCACTGCTACCCAACTCGCCACATCCGCACTCCAGCAGCACACTGCTGCTGCCACTCGCCTCCTTGGCACAGCCCTCGCTGGTGGTATCCTCGTTAGTGCAGCCCTCGTTATGGGAAGCGCAAGGAGTATCATCTAAGGCCGACGAGCATGGAGGGAAATGGGAAGGGTCAGAAGGGACAAAAGAGCCGTAAACGTCCTCTGCGAAGGCTTGAGATGAAGGCGTTTCAGGGAGATCCAACGGCTCCTGAGTCGTCTCAAAAGGAACGGACGGGTACGCGTGGCCGTCGGATGGAAGCACCACCTGTGACGGCGTTTTCGAAAGGTCTGGCAGCTTGTGAGACGTCTCAGAAGGGTCACAGGGGTGTGCGTGGCCGTCCGTTGTGAGAAGGTGCGACGGGGTTTCAGAAAGGTTCGAGAGCAGGCCGGGTGGAATCATAGGGGGGTTACAAGGGTCTTCATGGTCGTCCGATGTGAGAAGGTGCGACGGAGTTTCTGAGAAGTTCGAGAGGAGGTCCGGTGGGATAATAGGAGGGTGGGAATAGGTGTGAAAGACAGGCGGGTCGGTGAGGAGGTCTGGCGGTAGCAATTCCAGGAGAGTGTGGTGGAGGTAGATTAGGGACGTCTCTAACTCCCTCCGCTGCTCCCGCTCCTCCTGTACCTCCTGCAACGCTTGCCACTCCGAAGACTGCAGCTGAAACACCTGGGGTACGGGGGAAGAAGGGGAAGCAGGGGAGAGGGGGAAAGGGGGGAGATGAGTGGGAAACAGTGGTGTACGAGAGGAGCAGAGGAAGAATGGAGGGAGAGAAGCAAAAGAGGCGCTCGCACAAGAGCTGACTGACCGTCGCTGTGAGACTGACCGTCTCTGTGAGACTGACCGTCTCTGTGGGAGAGGAGGAAGCGACTGACCGTCTCTGTGTCTCGCTGGTGCTGCCCCTTGTACCTGCTGACCTCGTCCCTTAGCCTCTCCATCTGCTGCTCTACTGCCTGTGCATGGAGAAACGAGGAAAGGGAGAGACGACGAGGGAGAGCGGGGGAGAGGCGATCAGACGAAAAAAAGGGTAAATCGATCTTGACATTTACCCCGTCCCGCACTCCGCCATACCCCCGTTCCATTATCCGCCGCACCTTCATGCCATCCTCCGCCAATGCGCGCAGGATCCGCTCCATCTCCACCTCCTCCCGCAGCGCTTCCACCACACTCGGCTCGCCCCTTTCCCCATCCTCCCCCTCCTCCCGCTCCTCCCCCTCCTCCCCCTCCTCCATCTCCTCTCCCTCCTCTCCCTCCTCCCTTTCCTTCAGCACTCCGCCATACCCCCTCCCACACTCCTCCCCCTTCCCCCCGTCCTCCCTTTTCTCCCCATTCTCTGTTTTCCCGTCCGTTATCTCCCCCCTTTCCCCTTCCTCCTTTTCATCCTCCCCGTCCCCTTCTTTCTCCCCTTCCTCTTCATCCCCATACTCGTGCCCTTCCCCTTCCGCCTCCTCGCTTCCGCCGTCCTCTCCGCATCTCCGCTCCTCCTTGAGCCACGTCAGCCTGACATCAGGCTCCCGCGGCTGCTGCTCTGCGCACTTCCGCCTATTTGCCTCCTCCTCGAGCTTCGCGGAATCTTCGTCCATCAGCCTTTACTCCCGGTAGTAGGCCTAAACGCGTTCTACGCCGTGAATCATGTCAATAGTCATTTAACATTAATCTTTCATTGCGTGGGAGAGCTCTGGTTACTCCCGAGTCGCCCTTCTGTATCAACGATCGGCAGCATGCTAATAAAGGCCGCGTGGACTTAGCATCTCTGAGTCAGTCTGCGATAACAGTTTCGACGAGACGGCTTCCGTGATAGGAGAAACGCTACGATGTTTGACCAACGAGGAGCAAGCCGACGTGCCGGTGTCACTCTTCCAGAGCGATTATGAGCTACAAATAAGTTATTTAGTCAACGCAAACGTCACAAACTAAAATATCATCGCCGCGCACGACTGATGAATGCATGCATTAGCCATGGACACAACTTCGGAGAGAACCAGGTCGCAAGTGAGCATTCCTTCGCACTGGTGGAGGTGAGAGCAGCATGTTAGTGAACGCATGGGAACCAAGGAGCGTACTCACGATCGCATGGAAGCAACGTGTCATATTTTCGAGGCTAAGCAGCCGCACCCAATTAGTTGCCTCGCCCCGTGTGTAATGCGGGGCAGCGACGTAGGTATGCTGCTCAGAAGTCAGGCGGGGGAGACGAGCACCGCTGGTGGGATATTAGGCATCCTCACTGCTGGCTCATGTTCCGAACACACCGTTGCACCTCGTCGAAACGTACAGGAACGTGATAAATGTAGTCATTAATGCACTCCACCGCTTATATTGCCGTTAGCACGAACAATTCGATGATGGAGCGGAAAGGAAATACGAAATCGCGGATGTGGTTGGTTCCGAACCGAAGTGGGCTCTGGAACAGACGGACGGCCAGAACAAACCAGCCAGCCTCTAGGGGCATATGAACGGCGGAGATCTGCTGAGTCTGGCACCCAAGCGCAGCCTCGACGGTAGCGGGGAAGGTGTTCGGGCGATGGCAGCTGGCAAGGGGAGTGCTGCGCGCGCCTGATCACACAATCGAAGCCTGCAATGCGATCCATTCCGGCCGGGCCCCGCGCCAATGCGGGGAAGGTGCGCTAGGCAGAATGCAGGGGCCTCCACACGACACGGGGAGGTACAGTACTGTATGGTGGTTGGGGAAAAGGGGGAATGCGCTGGACCTCGACGTGACACGCACGCACCAGGTTTCACGCGCTCTGGCAATCGCGCTGTTTCGTGGTGTCAGTTCAATGCACCAGATCAGCAACAGGTTCGTCTGGCCAATACGGTGGTGGTATCTGGTCAGCGAAACACCAGCCCCAATCAGGTTTATCGTTTAGTTCCAATTCTACCGGAAGTTTCTGTAACGGCTGGCCCAAACTGGCAACCACATTTCGCAGAACGAATCAAGTCCAAAGACTGTCTGCATTCGTCACTCATGTCACCGTACGATCATCCGTGAAATCTGACTCAACCACTCAACGTCGAGGTGGGGGTCAGATCAGCTACTCAATAGCGAGGACGCGACAGCACTACGCGCCACTCCGGTGACAGGTGACAGGAACACAACAAAGCACGATAACCTCAATGTCGTAAAAGCTTGTGTGCAAAATTCACTCTCCAACTCCTATGTTGGGAATCCGTTATTGGAATGAGGTGTGAGCACGTAGCGGGCAACTTCAATAAAGAGTACGCACAGATTCCACTCGCTTTTTTCCTGCCTTGGCTATCGATTTTACCGTTGGTTCTGCTATTCCCGTTCCCACCATGAAACGCTACTTCAAGCCGGTCGCGAAAGCAACGGCTCCTGAAAGAACCCCAACCGCGTCAGAAGGACATAGAGCAATCGAGGAAGGGAAAGATGGCGGAATGGCGGAGAGGGACGGGGGAACGGCAGAGAAAGGCCGGGAAATGACGGGCGGGCGCAGAGCTGGGGGGAAATGCGCAGGGGAGGGGGAAACTTCCGGAGGAGTCAAACGTCCTGCGGAAGAAACCCCTGCGGAGTACTGTCGCGAATCCTTTCGCGATAGAATTTCGTCGAAAATCGATCACGATAGCAGTCGCGACGCGATTGGTACTGTAATGAGAATGCAGAGAGAGACTGGTTGTGAAGGTCGACTTGGCGTCGGAGTAGCAGCACCGTTTGGAGGTGTGGATCACCCAAGCGAGGCAGCTTCTATCGAGAGGAATTCATGGGAGAAAGCAGGGGAGCAAGGAAAGGAAGGAGGGGAGCAAAGAAGAGAGCAAATGAAGGCGCAACAGGAGTCTGGATATGAGGGTGAGCAACGGCAATCCGCAAAGGGCGGCGAGCGCGTGCAAGAAGAATCGGTTGCTCATCAAGAGCCATTGAGGTGCGGGGACTTGACCTGCTTGCATTCACGTCTTGGCTTCTTCACAAGTGCGAAGCATTTTCACACTCCCCCCCTCATAAACCCCACACTCATTCCTCCTCCCCCACCACCCCTTTCCCCATTCCCCGCTTCTTCTCCCACTTTCCCCTCCAAACACTCCTTCCCCCCCCTCCCCTCCCCCCTCCTCTCTTCTCCCCACACCCGGCTTCCCAGAATAGTGTTTTAGAACGCCAACAGTTTCCCACTCCGACTGATTGTTGAGCCGCCTCAAAACTTCAATCACTTCCCCTACCCATCCCCTGTTCCTCCCCTCTAAACCTACCCACCCTCCTCTCCAGAATAATGTCTTGGAACGCCAACAGTTTCCTGCTGCGACTGAGACACAACCGGGCGGAGTTGGTTGGCTTTATCTGCAAGCACTCGCCTGATGTCATTGCCATCCAGGTGATTGCAGCAGAGCGAGTCAGGTGATTGCAGCAGAGCGAGTCAGGTGATTGCAGCAGAGCGAGTCAGGTGATTGCAGCAGAGCGAGTCAGGTGATTGCAGCAGAGCGAGTCAGGTGATTGCAGCAGAGCGAGTCAGGTGATTGCAGCAGAGCGAGTCAGGTGATTGCAGCAGAGCGAGTCAGGTGATTGCAGCAGAGTGAGTCAGGTGATTGCAGCAGAGTGAGTCAGGTGATTGCAGCAGAGTGAGTCAGGTGGTTGAGTTAGAGCAGAGTCGATCAAAGAAAGGAGAATCAGGTGCTTTCAGCTGGAATGCTGCTGACCGTTGAAGGCATTAACGTGAATGATCACTACTGTTCAGGTTGTTTTTTAGAATTCTCAAATTAAAACTCAAGTCCTCAAGAATCTCCAGCTGGCTGGTGAAAGGAATAAACATGACTCAACGTGACTGTTGAGTCGACTCAAAAGTCTTCAAAATTTCTACTGACTGTTGAAGGCGTCAACTTGAATTGTCGCCCTCATCAAGTCGTGAATCATCATGGCTCAACAGGACTGTACTGATAGGTTTAGAGGTCGCATCACTTTCTCTTGAACCCCTCCCCCTTTTCCCCCCTATTTCCCTGCCTACTCTTCCACCATTTCCCCCTCCCCCTTTCCCTTCCCCACTTCCCCCTTTCCCCCTCCCCTTCCCCTTCCCCACTTCCCCCTTTCCCCCTCCCCCTTCCCTTACCACCTTCCCCGTCCCACTCCCTTCCCCCCTTCCCCTTTCCCCCTCCCTCGCCCCCATCTGGGGCGCAGGAGGTGCGCATGCCAGCAGCAGGGCGGAAGGGCGGGCCTCTCAACCAATCAGAGCTCAAGGATGACACGAAGCAAGCCCGGGAGGAGAGGCAGGTGGGTTGAGCAGAGAGAGGGGTGAAAGGGGACGGGGGGGGGGAGAAGGGGAGGGGAGAGGAGAGGTGAGGGGGGAAAGGGAAAGGGGGGAAATATTAAATATGGACCAGGGGATTTTGGAGAGAATGGAGAGCTGTGAGAAGAAGTGGAAAATAAAGTCTTATTCACTTACAGTCTTCACACCCTCTAAGCTATAGTTCAGCTTGAAGTCCTTCTATAACTGAATTCTGGTTCTTTACCCCTCTCCCCCTCTCCCTCTCTCCCTCTATCCCTCCCTCCGCCTCTCTCTCCCCGTCTTCCCCATGTCAGTTTATGCAGCATGCACTGGCATCACCACCGTTCTCCCTGTACTGGGTGTGGTGGTCCCTCGCCCCCACCAAGTATGCCGGCACAGCCATGCTGCTCAAACGCTCCCTGCTGCCCCGCCTCCTCTCCGCCTCCTTCTCCCTTGACGTGAGTGAGTTCAGTGCGGTTCAGTGTGGTGCAGTGCGCAGCAAGCAGGTAGAGAGCGTCGTTGCCATTCTCCCTGTACCAGGTGTGGTGGTCCCTCGCCCCCACCAAGTATGCCGGCACAGCCATGCTGCTCAAGCGCTCCCAGATGCCTCACCTCCTCTCCGCCTCCTTTTCCTTGGATGTGAGTTCACTGCGGTTCAGTACTGTTTAGTGCGGTGCAGTGCGGTACACGCAGGTAGAGAGCGTCACCACCATTCTCCCTGTACAGGGTGTGGTGGTCCCTCGCCCCCACCAAGTATGCCGGAACAGCCATGCTGCTCAAACGCTCCCTGCTGCCCCACCTCCTCTCCGCCTCCTTCTCCCTCGATGTGAGTGAGTTCAGCGTGGTGCAGTGCGGTAGACGCAGGTGAGGTGGACTTCTGCCTCTCCTTCTTCCATCCTTCCGCCCCCTCAACTCCGCTGTGCCAAACAATGGCTTCTCCAAAGACCTTCCCAACTTTCGTTACTCCTCTATCCTCCTCCCCGCCTCCCTCTCTTTGCAGGTGGGAGCAGCGGAGCAGGGAAAACAGCAGAGGCAGCAGCACGAGGCAGACGGGAGGGCGATCATTTTGGAGTTTCCATCCCTGCGCCTCCTCAACACCTACGTGCCAAACAATGGCTTCTCCAAAGGCCCTCCCAGCACAGCACTGCACCCCAACGTGTCCTTTCCCTCTTGCCTCCCCACCCCTCTCTTTTGCAGGTAGGAGCGGCGGAGCAGAGGCAGCAGCGGAGGCAGCAGCATGAGGCAGATGGGAGGGCGATCATTTTGGAGTTTCCATCCCTGCGCCTCCTCAACACCTACGTGCCAAACAACGGCTTCTCCAGAGACTCACCCAGCTTCCCCCGCCGTGCCGAGTGGGACGATCGCATCCGTCGGTTTCTCACCAGCGACGCCGTGCGATCCAAGCCATTGATCTGGCTGGGCGATCTCAATGTGAGGTGTGGATGTGAAGGGGTGAAGTCGTGGGCTCGTTTCCACGCAGCCTGGTTTACTCCTTTCCTTTTCCTCGAGGGAAAACAAAGCTTTTGCAATATCAAATAATCATTTTTTTTTGGGGGGGGGTGGGGGGAAGGTTGTCTCTTCCGTAATGGGGTTGTTTTTGAGGCACCTTAAAAATCACCTCAATATCCGGGGGGGGGGGGAGGTTGTCTCTTTTGTATCGGTTCACCCTCTTTCCCACTTCCATCCTCTTTCCCACTTCCATCCTCTTTCCCACTTCCATCCTCTTTCCCACTTCCATCCTCTTTCCCACTTCCATCCTCTTTCCCACTTCCATCCTCTTTCCCACTTCCATCCTCTTTCCCACTTTCACCCTCTTTCTCACTTCCATCCTCTCATATGCGAGTCACTCTAAAGATTTCTCGTACGTCGACCGCTCTCCCGCTACCATCCCACCGCCCTTCCTTCTCCCCTCCCAACACCAGTCCAACAGACGATGACGTCAGCGACCCTGGGTTCTTCCGTGCGGCGACCAATGGCGAGCCGGTCACTGATCCCGGGGTGAGACTCGGTAGACTCCTAGCATTGTGATAGACGAATGTGGGTGGAATATACATATATACATATATATATATATAAATATATATATATGTATATTATCCTGGTCTTAGCTTAGGCTGATGAGATGGTTTGCGAGTTTCTGGAAAGCCCACATCCCTTCTCCCGAACTCATTGTTTCTTCCCTCCTGCCTCTTTATGCGTTTGGGCCGCAGGATCGGGGACAGCCTGGGTTCTCTCTCAACGAGCGGATGAGATTCGCCGAGACTCTGAAAAGGTGTGCGTGTGTGTGTGGTAGAGGAAGTGTGTCAGTTGGTGCAGGTCGGGAGGAAGCGGGAGGGAGAGGGTGAGAAAGGGAGTGGAAGGGGGCGTCTCTGTGTAGAGGAGAAGGGAATGATCGGAAGTCCTCTCTTGGTCTAACCCCTTGACTATATTCCTTGTGCTACCTGCCCCCCCCATAACTTCCAGTCCTCTTCTCCCTTCCTCTGTTTTCCTCCTATTTTTTCGTCTCCCTTCCTCTCGCTTCCTGTCCCTTCGTCTTTACCTCCTCTCCTCCTCCTCTCCTCCTCCTCTCCTCCTCCTCTCCTCCTCACCTGACCAGGGCTGGCCTATGCACCCAATCAGGGACATGCAAGCGGGCTCCACGTGGTGTGGTAACATCTTGCAATGCACGTCCTCTCATCCTCATCTCATCCTCATCTAATCCTCATCTCATCCTCATCTCATCCTCATCTCATCCTCATCTCATCCTCATCTCATCCTCGTCTCATCCTCATCTCATCCTCATCTCATCCTCATCTCATCCTCATCTCATCCTCGTCTCATCCTCGTCTCATCCTCATCTCATCCTCATCTCATCCTCGTCTCATCCTCGTCTCATCCTCATCTCATCCTCCTCTTGTCTCTTCTCCCCCCGTCAGGGCCGGCTTGACAGACGCGTATCGCCACATGCACCCCAGCAAGGACATGCAGGCAGGCTTCACGTGGAGTGGCAACCCGGTGGGGAGGTATGTGGAGCAGAGAGAAGGTTGGGACTCACGTGCACAGACAGTACACGTACAGCACACACAGCAGCAGCAGTGGTCTGTATTATGCATATCTCGCCACTTGCACTCCAACAGGGAGAGACATGCAGGCAGGCTTCACGTGGAGTGGCAACCCTGTGGGGAGTTATGTGAGCAGAAGGTATGTGCGCAGAGAGAAGGTATGTGAGCAGAGAGAAGGTTGGGGCTCATGTGTACGTACAGTACATACACAGCAGCAGCAGTGGTCTGTATTATGCATCGTCATCTGCACCCTGAAAAGGACATGCAGGCAGGCTTCACATGGTGTGTTTTGAGTCGATTCAAAACTTGCACCCTCTTTTGAGTTGACTCAAAATAGGCTTCACAAGGTGTGGCAGCCCCGTGGGGAAGTATGTTTTGCCCCGTGAGTCACGGGGTTGCCACACCTTGTGAAGCCTGTTGTTTTTGAGTCGACCCCGTGTGTGTGGCGAGTATAAGGTGCCATGCCCACACACACACACACACGCGCACACGCACACGCGCGCGCGCACACACACACGCACACACACACACACACACACACATACACACACACACACACACACACGTGTGCATATGCAGGTTGAATCGTGAGGCTAATCTTGCGTCAGGTGCACATCATTCCAATCCTCTCATGCTCGCCCATATGCTGTGCTGACATGCCATGCCATGGCAGATGCCGAGGCAAGCGCATGCAGGTTCACTACTTCTGTGCGTCAGATGTACTCCAAACCAAATGGCAGCCCTCTTCCCGCTCCCCCCCATACTGGCCCTTATGCTGTGCTGACATGCCATGCTATGGCAGGTACCGGGGCAAGCGCATGCGGGTTGACTACTTCTGTGTGTCTAACAACCTTCTGCCCCGAGTGGCTGCATGTGACATTCACGGGCAAGGTTTCGAGGGCGAGGGTGAGTATGGATGCAGGGGAGTGGGCTGATTGTTGACGTCACTCGAAAGGCAGGCGCATGCGGGTTAACTACTTCTGTGTGTCCAACAACCTTCTGCCGCGAGTGGCAGCATGTGATTTACATGGGCGAGGGTTCGAAGGGGACGGTGAGTATGGATGGAGGGTTGGGGGAGGTGAAGGGGGGAAGGGGAACGCGAACTTTTAGGCGCCTCGGAATGCGAGTTGACTACTTTCTTTTATCCAGCGACCTTCAGCCCTGAGTGCGGCATGTGATATGCATGGGCGAGGGTTCGAAGGGGACGGTGGGTATGGATGGAGGGTAGGTAGGGGGCTGAGTTTCTGGTCGACCCACCAAGACAAGCGCAGGGGGGTTGACTGCTTCTGCTTGTCCAACGAGTGGTGGCATGGGATGTGCATGGGAAAGGGATTTAGGGCGAGTGTGCGATTAGAGGCGACCCAAATGTCACCTTTTGGCTCAACTCAGAAGTCAGCTTTTGAGTCGTCTGAGAAGTCACCTCGGGTTCTGCTTGTCCAACGAGTGGTGGCATGTGATGTGAAAGGGAAAGGGGCGGGGTGAGTAGGGGGGTGTGGAAGGGAAAGGGGCGGGGGGGGGGGGAGATGGCGGGGAGCGATGGGGCGCGTGGGGGGTGCGTATTTATTCTGAAGTTGCTGTAGGTGTGTAGTTACTAATAACAAACAAGGGGTTTCATAATTCACCAGGGCTCTCCCCCCTCGATGTGCCACCTTCTCCCAAGTGCAGGGTTTCTTGGAAGTGACCATTGTCCCATCACCCTTACCCTTCGGCCAAACTGAAGCAACCTTACATGGCAAACCACCAACCACGTTTCCCCAAAAAAAACTGCACGATGAGTGTGTACCCCTGTTACAATACATTTGAGATTGCAAGCTCTGTGATACCATTCAATTAGACCGGGATTCTTGCCAGGATCCATCAGACGGCCCATTAGGCTTTCATGATTGGCCGATCCTCGCTGAGATTGATATATAGGTTATATCGTGGAAAAGGTTTACACTGTACGCAGAGGTGCGCCACCAATATGGGGGTGTGCACGCTGCAAATTATAACGATGGTGGCACGTCCAATGCTTTGATGTGCATTCACACACAACCGGCAAGTTTTGTGGGAAAAAGGGCAAGTACATATGAATCCAAACCATACGAATTTTGTTTTGAGATGTCAAGGGTTGCTAAAGCATTTTGAGATTTTGTATAAAAAAAAAAAAAGCAATATTAAAAACACCTAAGAACAAGTCTGCTTTAGGAGACTGAAAATGACGTAGATTGATTCGTTGATTCGTTGTTGCCGATAGCACACCTACATTCGTTGCCACGTGAACGTACAGTAACGTACTCCGATTTCTCGACACTTCCCCCACCCAGCACCCCTCTGAGTTCCAAACGTTGCGTTATACCGGGCAAATGGACGATTGCCTCAGATTTGGGAAATCCACCATTTCTGAGAAGCCGCAGGGGTATTTTAGGACAATCGCATGCAATCGGGAGCAATCTCTCGATTGCGATCGAAAGCCCGATCGATTGCGATCGATCACTCCGATCTCACGCAATCGATTGCAATTGATAGATTGCTTCAGATCGTGGGGCCTGGCGACAGTTGCGGATGGTAATTCACTCTGCCGAAGTTCAGCACTGCTCGCAGAACCAGTAGATATCGCGAAATTAGAACTTGGACGAAGGGAATGGAAGAATCGGGAACGTCAGAAGGGGCTACTTTGTAATTGGGCGATCCAAAACTTCGCTGGCTGTCGCCAATTCTGACAGGAAGAAACGTGTTAAGTGCCTGGTAACCGCGTTAATGTTTCTAACGGACTTCCGTGAACTTCACAGTCAGATCGCGCGGCTCGAGACGCAATCAACATATTGCCTCAGATTGGTGCAATCTCACCCGTTCCGATCCGACCCGACCCGACCGACAGCAATCGGACTTAGATCGGCCCGATCTGCACGGAATGGCTGCCTTGGATTTGGGGTGAGAGGAAGGGCTCGAATTTTGTTTTCGAGTGTTCTCCACACGTGTACCCTCTTTTCAATCCTCTGCATTCACGTCCTCCTGCCCCAGTAAAGCACCAGTGGCTCCACCATTGCGACCCCCATGCCCCTGACGCATCCCGGTACAGTAGAAACCCGTAAACCTTACACGTACTCTTCCAACTGTATTCTGTACTCCGAGTTATTGCAAATCGTATATAAATCCAGTGTACAGCACATCAAGATCGAGCCGCATGAGCAGATCGTGTAACTTTCAAATCGTGTGTGGTCTGAGCTTGACTCGGGGAGAGGTTGCATGACAAACTTAGTTTTCGATATTGAACGTCTTGAATGTACATCGCGGTGTATTAGCACTTTCACAGAACTCAGGAATATGGTAAACAATCTTATCGAAGAAATTGAACTGGTTTGGGATACTGACTAAATGCCCTGGCTTCGATGGGGATACCCGAGGAGCAAGAACAGCTTTCTTGGGCTGGCCAGTTCGCCTCCATGTTGCCAGACATAAGGGAATCTTAAGCATTGTACACCCGACTAAACCGTTCTGGAATTCGATAAAGAGCAATGAACACCTTGTTAGGGCATGTGCCTTTTCGCGCAGACGTTCGGAATAAAGGGTTGATCTTTTGATGGTAACCCATTTCGTTAATTTCGTTAGAAACTGTTTGCTACGACTCGTGTCCATGTGAAATGTTTGAGAAAACAGGACACTGAACTGGGGTCGAGCTCGCATTATATATTTTCGTCCACGCTTTTCCAATCGTGTATCCCTCGGCTCGAACGAAGCAGCAGCGAAAATTGCGACAAGGACGAAAAGCGTCGTATCAAGTTACCGAAGTCGGATTCGGTCACGAACTTCTTTTAATAGACCAGGTAACCTACGAAACGAAGGCACGACTCGGGATTACTGTATAAAGTCGACCTTCGACAGTCGAACTTTGCTGGTCCATGTGCTTGATGTGAATAATGAAGGAAAAAAAATGGAAAAGGAAAAAGGAAATTTATCGGGATACAGGTCGACCAAGGTTCAAATGCATAAAGTCGAAAAAAACCCATGAACTTTACGACACTCCAAAAGACACACGTGTCAGAATGAACAAGAGTGATTGCACTAGGAAAGTGTTGGGTACAAGTAGGAAACCCTAACTTACTGTACCCCATAGTGACTACCCCACTACAGCCTAGCCAACTGTAGCAGATATAACATTTGACACACCCCCATAGGCAAAGTGGGGGAGAGCAAGGGGTCACAAGACCAGTCAAGAAAGACAAAGCAAGCTCAGGGTGGATCACAACGTCACCACACACTCTGAGCACAAGCAAAGGGCCACAAGGCCAGTTCACATGCAGAGGCATATATGCAACACAAACAGTACTGTGATCTCTACCTAGCGAAGCAAACATGCAGGTATATATACATAGATCACAGTACAAGCAAAGCCTACAGCAAGTGAGGAAAAGTGGGCACAAGCCCTAGCATAGTGCAGAAACGCTGATGATCACCAGGCTGAAGTGCCTTGGTGAATATATCAGCAGTGTTGGCCCGAGTGGCCACGTAACGCAAACGAAGCTGACCACGTTGCTGCAACTCTCGAGCCAGGAAGTAACGCAGAGCGATGTGCTTCGTTCTGTGCTCCAGTCTGTGCTCCTCACACAAGGCAATGGCAGCCTTGTTGTCGACGTACAGCACTGGAGGAGAACGATGCCGCTCTCCCAAGTCGGTCAGCAGGTAGGTGAGTCAGCGTAACTCCTGTGCAGCCATGGCTGTGGCGTAGATCTCAGCCTCACAACTGGAGCTGAGAACTGAAGACGAGCGAGTAGAACGCCAAGAAACTGAACCAGAGCCAAGGCTGAAGGTGTAACCCTGTGAGGACCGCTGAGTAGCCTGGTCGTCAACCCAAGAAGCGTCTGAGTGCCCAGTGAGAACAACTGAGCTCCTCCCTCCAAGCACGAGCCCCATGCCTGATGTACTGCACAAGTAGCACAGTACCTTCTTAGCAGCATCCATGTGCACCTTTCGGTGCCGACCAGGAGCCACGTAGCGAGCCAGAAGGCCAAGAGGGTACGCGAGGTCAGGACGAGTGCAAGTCATCAGGTACATAAGGCAGCCAACTAGCTCTAGGTAAGGACCACTCGGCTCTACGGACTCGTCCGAAGGTGGAGCTGAGAGCGAGTGACCTGTAGCCAGAGGAGTGGCCTGTGCCGAGGACCAAGTGAAGCCGAAGCGCTGAAGGACCTGCTGCACCATGTGTGACTGAGTCAGAGTGATCACGCTGTGGAGCAGTGGAAAGACGAAGCGTCATCTGGTGAGTGCCTGGGACAGCAGGAGGACGCTGACGCGGGACACGACGACCAGTGCGAGCAGCACGAACAGGTGACGCAGAACGAGACTCAGGCGACACAGGACGAGACTCAGGCTCACGACGCTCCGTAAGACCTCCTGTCGGACCAGTGTAGGGAGAAGGACCAGGAAGCGGCGAGGCAGGCGGTAACTGTGACTGCGACTGGACAGGCGGAGGACACCCTAAGGAGGGAGCAGGACAAGGAGGAGGCGGCTGACCAAGAACCTGCTGAAGGAGCGGAACGAAGTACGGCCGCGGCCGTGAAGTGCCCCCAGAACCAGCAGAGACAGCTCCAGAACCCCCAGCAGCAGCTCCAACTCCCGTAGCACCACCAGCAGCTCCAGTAGTGTCAACTCCAGTACCTCCAGCAGTACCAGCTCCAGCTGCACCGTCGGCTCCAGCACCTGCAGGAGGACGAGCGTCAGCACCTCCAGCTCTAGTCCCTGCAGCACCACCAGCCCCAGTACCAGTAGCACCACCAGGAGCTCCAGCAGCTCCAGTACCTCCAGCAGCACCAGCAGCACCTCCAGCAGGACCAGCACCAGCAGCACCTCCAGCAGCTCCAGTACCTCCAGTAGCACTAGCAACACCTCCAGCAGCAGCAGGGCCTCCAGCAGGCGGCACCTCAAAACTAGTAGCTCCACTCCGGAGGCTGCAGCA